AATTCCTGGGATAAACCTCACTTGGTCATGATGTCTTATGATTTTTGTATATTATTGAACTTGATTGCTGAAGTTTTGTTTAGAATTTTTGCATCTATGCTCACTATGAATATTGGTGTAGTTTTCTTATGATGTCTCTGATATTGGTATCAGACTAATACCAGCCTCATGGAATGAATAGAGAAGTTGTCTCTCCTCTTCAATTTTTGAGAATTTGTGGGAAATTGGTATTATTTCTTCCTTAAATGTTTGGTACAATTCCCCAGTGAAGGTACATGGGCCTTAAGTTTTCTTTGTGCAAAGGCTTTAGCTACAAATTCCATTTTTAAAATAGAGGGCTCTTCAGATTATACATTCTTTTGATGGAGTTTGTGTCTTTTATGTTTCTTGTGCTTAGGTTTGGTGAGTTCCTGGCTCTGTCGATTATTATAATTATCATCAAATTTGGAAACTTTCAGCTACTATTTCTACAAATGTTTTTCTGTTCCTTCTTCTCTCTCCTCTTCTTCAAGGACTCCAATTGCTCATATATTAGGCTGCTTGAAGTTGTCCCTGCTGTTCTTTCATTTTTTTATTTTATTTTTTATCCTCAACCGAGGACATTTTTTCATTTTTTGTTCAGATAGAGTGGGAGGGAGAGAGAGGAAGAGAGGAAGAGAAACATCGACGTGAAAGGGACACATCGAGTGGCTGCCACCCACACAACCCAACCAGGGCCAGGGACAAACTGCAACTGAGGTACGCGCCCTTAGCGGGAACCAAACCCGAGTCTCTCTGGACCGCAGGCTGATGCTCTAACCACTGAGCAAAACTGGCCAGGGCTGTTCTTTCATTTTTTAAAAATTCGTTTTCCTGCCTGGCCAGTGTGGCTCAGTGGTTGAGCATCGACCCTGCACCAAGAGGTCGCTGGTTTGATTCTCAGTCAGGACACATGCCCAGGTTGTGGGCCCAATCCCCAGTGGGGGGGCATGCAGGAGGTGGCCAACTGATGTTCTTTCATTGATGTTTCTATCTCTCTCTCCCTCTCCCTCTCCCTTCGTCTCTCTCTAAAATCAATGAAGAAAAAAAATTGCCCTGGACAGTTTGGCTCAGCGGTAGTGAGTGTTGGCCCACAGACCAATGAGTCGGGGGTTTGATTCCAGTCAAGGGCACATACTTCGGTTGCAGTTCGTCCCGGCCCTGGTTGGGGTCATGTGGGAGGTGGCCAGTCAATGTGTCTCTTTCACATCGATGTTTCTCTCTCTCTCTCTCCCTCCCTCCCATGCTATCTGAGGATGAATAGAAAAATATCCTCAGGTGAGCATCAAAAAAATAAACTCTTTTCCCTGTTTTTCATTTTAGATAGTTTCTACTGCTAGGTCTTCAAGTTCACTGATATTTTATTTTATTCTGACACACCCAGTCTGCTGTTAATTTCATCCAGAGTTGTTGTTTCATTTTGGACATTGTTTTCATCTCTAGAAGTCCAACTGGGACTTTTTGAGATCGTCTGTGGGTCCACATCACCTCTGAGCACATGGAATAGAGCTATCATCGTGGTTTTCACGTCCTTGCGCTACAACTCTCGGCCTGGGTGGGGGTTGGGCAGTGGCCTCTGTTTTGTTCCCAGCCTCGAGTAGTTTGCTCACAAGCGTGTGTTGATCAGTCCCAGCTGCATACAGGAGAGGGCCTGTCTGTGGGTCTCCAGGGGCCTCTCCTCTGTGGTAACTCTAACTCTAGCCACTGTATTCTTCCCAGACACTCAGCTGTTTCCACAACACAGGGGGTCCAGTGACGCTGTCTGGGTTCCCCTTCCTGCCCTGTGGTCTGGACATGCTCTCTCAGGGCAGTGAGCTGAGCCAGCTGCCTCGTTTCTTGCTGTCTCTCGGGAACTGCCCTTTCATGGTCTTATGTCCATTATCTTGAAAACTATTGCTTCGTATATTTTGTGTGTTTGTTTTTTGGTTGTCTCAGGCAGGAAGTGGTAGGGTAACCAAAGAGTCTCGGGCTCGATTCCAGCCAAGGGCATGTACCTCAGTTGTGGTTCGTCCCAGACCCTGGTGGGGGTCATGCAGGAGGCAACCAATCGATGTGTCTCTCTCAAGTTGATATTTCTCTCTCTCTCTCTCCCTCCCTCCCTCCCTCCTTCCCTCCCACTCTATCTGAAGATAAAAGGAAAAATATCCTTGGGTGAGGATTTAAAAAAAAAAAGCCTTTTGTCCAGTTAGCCTCTGACATTTCTCTGCGGCTGCCAGGAAGTATCCATGGGGGGGATAAAGTGAAAACTTGGGCGGGTGGGACGTTAACCAGCTGGCTTTCCGACGACAGCGGAACCAAGCCTTTACTGACACAGCCCTGGTCAGACACCCAGGAAAGGCCTACACATTCCAGTCCCGAATGCGGGGTGACCTCAGAGAGACTCTCCACTCCCTTCTGCAAAACTCTCTTGCTTAGAGAGGCCTGACTTTTGACTTTGGAGGCCAGTGGCTAGGGGCAGTCTCCAGCACAAAGACTTTCTTGGCCTGAGAGGGAGATCTGATTTGTAAGTCTGCTTCCTTTTAAATCTTGAACCTGATTAGAGTGGACAGTGACCCCCTGGAGCAGACTGAGTGTCATTCTGGGAATGAGGGGAGACCAGGAGGGGGGCCGACCTGAGCCCAGCGGTCTAGCTCAACCTGGCTCTGGACCCTCACATAGGGACAAAGGAATTCTCTCTCATGTCCAATGCTGGTCCCCTCCTCTCTGGACCCTGGCAACACTGACAGTGTGGGACACGTGTATATACAGGGTTCGAAGGATATAGGGCCATGTATTATTCTTCCAACAATTCTAATTCTCTGATCATTGTCCTCCAAATACGAATAATAGTAGTAATATCAAAACAGCTTGCCCTGGCCGGTGTAAGTGGTTAGAGCGTTGGCCTGTGCACAGAATAGCTGCAGGTTCAATGCCCCGTCAAGGGCACATACCCGGGCTGCGGGTTCAATCCCCGGCCCTGGTTGGCGTCATGCGGGAAGCAACCAATCGGTGTGTCTCTCTCACATCAATGACTCTCTCTTCCCCTCCCTCCTTTCTATTCTCTCTAAATATCAATGGAAAAAATAACCTCTGGTAAGGATTAACAAAATAAAATAAAATACCTTAAAAGAATATTGAAGCTTCTTTAAAAAAAAAAAGAGGCACAATATGTTTTGTGCCTGTGCGTGGTAAAAAAGAAAAACAAAAAAAAAATACAGCACAGTGGAGACTCCCAGAGTCTCCCCAACTTCCAGGCACACTCTTTACATGCGGTCCAGTCGGGAAGGCTCCACCTGTCGAGTAGCTCCGCTCTCCACCCTCCCCTCTCCGCCTCCTTTTAACTCACCTCCACCAGCGTCTTCCATGACTTCAAATCCCACTGTCCCACCCCACCCCCACCCTTCAGGGGCCCTCCCTCACTGCCTACAAAGTAGGGTCCTGCTCCTTAAGCTGAGCTGCAAGCGGATTCCCAAGTTTGGGTGTCTCCCGTCATGGCCACTTGGGATACAAACTGCCCAACGCCCTGTGGGACCCCATTATGGTTTTATTTCAAAGTCCGGATATGGTCAGCCATTGGGAGAAGGTCCCGTCGACGTGATGTGGGCTGGCTTCCCAAAGCTAGCCTGCTCACCAACCTCCAACCCGTGCCCCTGCACTCAATCCCAAATCCCAAATGAGGTTTGCGCCACTGGTTTCTCCAAAGAGCCCTAGAGGGTTCAGGGAATCCTGTTGCCTTTAGGACCTGGAGGATCCGAGTTGGGGATCACCCCTCCTCACCCCCCGCGACGCCGGGACCGGAACTGCCCTAATAGGAACCAGCCGACAGACGTTCCGGGGTGGGGGTTCCGGGAGAGACCTCAGTGGACCCTCCGAGGCGCAAGCGGAGCCGAGAGGGCGGGAGGGTGGGGCGGGGGTGGCAGCCAAAAGGTGCCAGAGAGGTGGGCGGGGCACAGGAGCCGCTGGAGCCCAGCGCCCGGGACCCCACAGCCGCTCCAGCGAGTGACCCTGGCCTCTCCGGGGTGCCCCGCGGCCAGTCCCCCCACCCCACCCCCGGCGGGACTCTGGAGTCGGGATGAGCGTGGTTTCCCAGCGAGGGCAGACCAGGGCGCTCTCCAACAAGGGGCCGCCCCCAAGTGCCCCGAGCCCCTCCGGTAGGGTCCTTGGGCTGGGAGCCTGGAAGAGGCAAACTTGCAGGGTGGGAGCGCGCAGCCGCCCGTGCCAGCGAGTGCCGGGTGGACTCTTCGTCCACCTCCTCCTCCCCTGTCCCGGCCTTTGGTGCCGACCCGGCTGGCAGAGGGCGGGAGCCCAGAGGAGCAGCCGGAGGGTCGCACGTGGAGCCACCCCCCACCCCACCCCACCCCCCGAGCTGGGGCCTTGGGCCAAGGTCGGTCCCGAGGGACCAGGGCTGGGGGTGGGGGCTGGAGCGCAGGCCCGAGAAGTGGGAGGGGACAGGTTGAGGGGTGGTCTCTGAGGAGGAGCCAGGCTGGACTGTATTGTTCGACAATCCGCCGCCCCGAGCGCGCGGCGCCGGCCCGGGAGGGCGTGCGGGGCGCGGGGCGCGGGGCGCTCGACTTCCCGGTGTCCCCCCGCCGCCGGCTCCCAGCGAAAAGACGACCCTCGCTTCCCAGTGCGCCCCGAAACGCCTCTGCCCCACTCGCTCGGACCGGGAAGAAGGGCCTGGTCAGGTGGGGTGCGGGTCTCCCGTGGGGAAGGGAGGCCCTCTGCGCCGGTGAGGCTGGGACGGCCCCATGGGAGGAGCGGGGGTCCCATGGGGGCCGCCCACGGGGCGCAGAGCCCGCTGGGTCAGCAGACTGGGAGGCGGGGTGGGCGGCGCGGGAGCGAGGGTCTCCCGTCTTACCCCGCCGGGCCCCGTCCCCGCCGCAGAGTCCTGGAGACCCGGCCCCCGGCGATGACCGCGGGACGAAGCCGCAGGGAGCGCGGATGCCGGGGCGCCCCCTCCTAGCGGGCGCAGCCTTCCCCTCGCCCCCCGCGCGGCCGGCAGGATGGGGGGCGGTGGATCGGCCCTGAGGGTCTGCGCCGAGCACCGCGGGGGCATCAACTGGCTCAGCCTGAGCCCGGACGGGCAGCGCCTGCTGACGGGCAGCGAGGACGGCACGGCCCGGCTCTGGCGCACCGCGGACGGCCAGTGCTGTGCTCTCCTGCAAGGTAGACGCGCGCGCCTCCGCCTCCCCACTTCTCCCCTTTCCGCCCCCGACCCCTTCCCGAAGTCGTCCCCACCCTTCCCGGGCCACTCGTGGAAGCGCGCCCAATCGGACCAGCTGGGGGCACACGGGGTGGGGTGCTGGGTGGGGTGGGGGCGCCGAACGGGCCGCGATCGAGGTCAGTGGGCCGAGCGGCGCCCTCTGCGGGGCGAAGGTCACTTGTCCACCGGCTGCGGGGGATCACTTCCGCTACAACCGTTAACAAACTGCTGAAAACGCACCTGTGCCCCTTCAGGGGTGCAGCGCCTTCTCCGGCCTCTCACGGGCCAGATCGCATTTACCTGGACATCTCCTTCGGGGCCATTAGGGTAGCAACCGGGGCCTGTTAGGTACCATGGGTTCTGAGCACTCAAGTGTGCAGTCCTCACACTACTGTTACCCCCTCGTGCAGTCCGGGAAACTGAGGCACCAAGTTACATAACAGCTGGTGGCGGGGAGTTGAAATTTGACCATCCTGCCCTGCTCCCTGCTGTCTCATTTCATCTGCAATTTGGCTTACTTGAAAACTGGGTGAAATAGCAGGAATTTTACAAATACCTATTGGTTAATATTTGTGTACTTATCAGAGGTGGAAATATTTCTTACCTCGCGTCCTATCAAGTCTTGGGCTGGGACTCCCAGCTGTCTGAGCCCTGTGGGCAGGGGTGGTGGTGGTGATGGTGATCTGTACAGGGGTGGGGTAAGCAGAGAGCAGGCTGGAGGATGTATCTAGAGGGACAGACAGAAGACTGGCCAGGGACAGCACAGGGCAAGGAGGCACCGTTTATTTTCATGCGGAGTCAAGGGTGTTGTCCTAGCTTGGCCCAGTCCAGCCCACCTGTGACTGCAGACCCTGGACCCCAGCGCTGAGCCCCTCCTGTACATGGAGAGACATGCAGCCGGTCCCAGGGTGTAAGGACAGGGAGGCGGGGGAGCCCATGACCTTGGCAGGAACCCCTGAGCCTCAGCATGTGCTTTTGAACATAACTGCATCTTATCTGCACTCTTCATCCCTTCGAAAATATTTTTAGTTTGGCTTTTTTGCTTATTCCGCACAATTCCAACAGCTTGCTGCCAAGGCGCTGTGGTCCCTGGAGACAATATGGGCCCTCCTTCCCTCTTGCCCTCCCTCATCCATGCTCAGGGTGGGGCGAGGCCTTGCTCCCCTAGTGACCTCGAAGGCCTTGGGGCAATGGAGCCCTCTCTCTGGTGGGGCTCTGAGCCAGGACTCAGTTGGCTTGTGTTTTCAGATTCGGGGAGGGTGCTTGGCACACAGAGGAAGGGGCTCATCTGCTGGGGATCCTTGGCCGCTACAGGGAGCTTCAGCCAGCTCAGGGCCAGGTCCCGGAGGGGGCAGAGATGCAGCCTGGCCCAGCTTAAGAGATAAGCTTTTTTTTTTACATTGAAAATCTTCTGGCCCTGGCCGGTTTGGCTCAGCGGTTAGAGCGTTGACCTGCGGTTCGGAGAGACCCGGGTTCGGTTCCCGCTAAGGGCACGTACTTCGGTTGCAGTTTGTCCCCGGCCCTGGTTGGTCGTGCGGGTGGCAGCCACTCGATGTGTCCCTTCACGTTGATGTTTCTCTCTCTTTCTCTCTCCCTCTCTCTCCCTCCCACTCTATCTGTACAAAAAATGGAAAAATGTCCTCGGGTGAGGATAAAAAAAAAAGAAAAACTTCTGTACATTATCATCTTAAGTCTTTGTTTATGTGTTATATTTTTAATGATTCGCAACCAGTGTTTATACCCGCCCCCCCCCCTTTTTTTTTTACTTCTGTGTGTCATGAAAGTGGTCCCACATCTCTTGGTCTTCAGCATCCCAGTTTAGCGGGTACAAGCATCCCGGTGTGCTGGCGTTCCTGTGTTTTCCTTGGCGTCATTTACACTTGTACTTGGCACTTGGCCTTCCTGTGAGATGGGAGGAGGCAGCCCGAATGGGGACGGTGCCCCCAAGGTTGCCTGTCTGGGGCGGCCTGGGTTAGTCTGCACTGGGCGGGTGGCGGACTGCTGGACATGAGCCTGCTTGGGGCCCGCTCCGTGGCACCCACCAGCCTTCAGGATACCCTGCGGCCTTCCAGCCAGCCCCTCACAGTGCCCAGCCCTCCCATGGACAGATCGGGTCGCAGGGAGAGTTTGTTGATAATCTGAACATATTTTATAAACTCTTTGGGGTTGACAAAAAGCCAGGCTGTGTTTTGCCAAACACACTTTGCCCTCGACTTTGAAACTGATGTGTTTTTTTAAGAGAAACATAATCTGCAGTTTCTTGAAGTGTTTATTTAATTCGCACAAATGTTGTTTTCTTAGAGGCCTGGTCTAGGCCATCCAAGAAGACTGAGAAACATTTCTTTCTTTTTTGGGGGGGGGATTTTAAAAAATCGGTGTTAGAGAGAGAGAAAGAGAGAGAAAAACATTGATTGTTCCAATCATTTATGCATTTATTGGTTGATTCTTTTTCTTTTTTAATCCTCACCCAAGGGTATGTTTATTGACTTTTTTTAGAGAGAGAGGAAGGGCGAGAGGGAAACATTGATTGGTTGCCTCTCTACCGAGGATCGAACCCGCAACCTTGGCCGGGGAAAAAAATATTTCTTTCTTAATTTTAGAAGAATTCTGCTTCTTAGAACCCAGGAAGTTGAGTTCTTCCAAGAGCAGATAAGCTTAAACTCAGGGTTGAAAAAAAAAAAAAATTAGCCTGAAATTGCCCAGAAAATTCCTGCACATTTAATGGAATTTTAAAATTCTATCAAAATCCTTGTCATAATAAATACGCCTCCCAACTCTGTGGACATTTGAATTCATCAGTCTTCTCACCTGTGAAATGGCTCTTAGGTCTAACATTCCTTTGATTCTGTTGATTTTCTGGTGCCTGAATTTCCCTTAAATAGACTCCGTTTCAGTTTGCGTTGGGACGTTGTTATCCAAGGTGGAAATGTCTTTGACTAAAGGACAGGCCCTACGATGATGGGGACCCGAGGTCTCCTGGGCCGTTTAACACTACCCGAGGCATAAACACCAGTCCCACAATGAGGGCAATGCTTAAAAGATGTGACAACTGCCCGGCCGGTGTGGCTCAGTGGTTGAGCGTCGACCCATGCACCAAGAGGTGGCCGGTTTGATTCCCAGTCAGGTCACATGCCCAGGTTGTGAGCCAAATCCCCAGTAGGAGGCATTCAGGAGGCGGCCAATCGATGTTCTCTCTCGATGTCTCTCTCTCTCTCTCTCTCTCTCTCTCTCTCTCTCTCTCTCTCCCTTCCTCTCTCTCTCTAAAATCAATAAAAAATAAATAAACAAATAAAAGACTTGGCAACCACACAGATAAGAGGGATGACCAGGCCCTGGCCAGTTTGGCTCAGCAGTTAGAGCTCCGGCCCTCGGACCAAAGGGTCTCAGGTTTAATTCTGGTCAAGGGCACGTACCTGGGTTGCAGTTTTGATCCCCAGTCCCAGTCTGGGTTGTGCGGGAGACAACCAATTGATGTGTCTCTGTCACATTGATGTCTCTCTCTCTCTCTCTCTCTCTCTCTCTCTCTCTCTCTCCCCCTCCCTCCCTCTCTCCCTTCCACTCTCTCTAAAAATCAATGGAAAAATACCCTCGAGTGAGGATGAATCCTCCTACCCCCAAAAAAGAGGGATAACCAGGTACAGTAAGTACCCTGTTGGCCCCCCCTCTGCCCCAGACCCCACCTTCGTTGTGTCTGTTGTCCACTGTTTCTGCCAAACACCTGAATTCTGGCCTTCGGAGCCCCTCCTGCGTTGCTGAGTCCTCTCCCCACATAGGCACCACGAGGACCCTGCCTCTTGCGCAACACCCAGGCTTCTGCTCTGTCGACCCCAACCCGCCTGTCCGAGGTGTGTCATGCTTGCTGCCGGTCTCCTGGGCCGGCCGCCCGCTTTGACAGCAGGGAGTGTGTCTGTACCGTTTCCTGCCGCAGCTGTGACCTGCGATCATGCCGGGTGCCTTACAACTGCAGAAGTTTATTCCTGCACCGTTCTGGAGGCCAGGAATCCAGAGATCAGTGTCCCTGGGCTGAAATCAAGGTGTTTGACACCTGTCGCCTCTTGCAGCCGCCGGTGGGGGCTGCAGCATTCCTTGGCTTCGGGTCACGACACTCCAGCCTCTCTGTGCTGTCTGCGCAGCGCCTCTGTCTGTCCTCAGGTCTCACTCTGCCTCCTCCTCATGAGGACTTGTGGTTGCATTCAGGGCCCGTGCTGAGCACCTCGGATAGTCTCCCCGTCTCAAGATCCTTAACTGCATCTGCAAATGTGTCTTTTGCCAAGCAAGGTAACATTCCTAGGTTCTAGGAATTAGGACCTGATTCTGCCCACCACAGTGTTTCTCCCGAGCGCGAGAACAGCTAACGCCTAGCACTCGCTCGGTCTGCACCCCACCCCACGAGACAGGTGCCGTCACTCTCCCTGTGTCAGATGCGGACCTCGAGGCACGAAGCGAGATCACTTGCCCGTGAGCCGTAGTAGCAGCTCCAGGATGCTAGCCCAGGCGCCTGGGCTCTGAAGACCGTGCCCGTGGCTTCTGTACTTCCTGCCCCCTAACACTGGGTTTGTTGAATGACTGAGTGAATCCTCACAGCTGAAGAGTTTGAGGAAGACTGAAAAGCGATGACGAAGAGGAGGGGACAAAAGGATTCGGGGGCAGGATGGGTGCCCCACAGACGCTCCCAGACTTAACTCGTCATGTCAGAGGGCTGGTCAATTCTGGATCGGTGTCAAACGCCCCCCGCCCCAGGCTCTCTTCCCTCCCTCGCTGTCTCAAGCGTTCTCCCCAGAGGAAAGCAGGAGCTGGCGCGCCCCACAGGCTCACGTCTCCCCTCGTCCGCAGGACACGAGAGCTACGTGACCTTCTGCCAGCTGGAGAACGAGGCCGCCTTCACGTGCAGCGCTGACTGCACCATCAGGAAGTGGGATGTGCTGACCGGGCAGTGCCTGCAGGTGTTCCGAGGACACACGTCCATCGTGAACAGGTCAGCATGGCCTGGGGGGCCCTGGGCTGACAGGCAGTGAGGACTCGGCCTCTCATCATGGTACCTGGCTGGCCCCGGGGACAGAGATGTAGGCCTTGGGGCCTCTGCCCTGGGAAAACGTAGCTTCTCTGGGGAAGCTCACCCGTGGACACGTGGGATGGTCATCAGGAGCACGTAGCAGTGGAAGGCTCAGTCAGAAGCGTCCCCAGGTGTGACAGGTGCCAACTGCCCAGAGCTGCAGGAGGGGGTTTGGGAGGCAGAGGTAGGGAAGGGAGGCACCACCTGTTAACCCACCGACCTGGCTGCACAGCTGCCCCCTGCTGGGCACAGGGAAAGGCATGGGAGGCCACAGCTCCTGGGATGGATGGATAGCAGAGGGAGGGGCTCAGTGGGTACCTGATGGACCGGGGCTTGGGGGAGCAGCCAGTGGGCATGGCTGTGAGGTGAAGCCCAGGGTTTTTTTTTTTTTATCCTCACCAGAGGATATTTTTTTGCATTTATCTTCAGACAGAGCAGGAGGGAGAGAGGGAGGAAGAGAGAGAGAAACATCGACGTGAGAGAGACACATCGATTGGTTGCCAACGGTACAACCCCAACTGGGGCCGGGGACGAACTGCAACCGAGGTACGTGTCCTTAGCGGGAATCGAACCCAGGACTCCCCGGTCCGCGGGCCGACAACACTCTAAGCGCTGAGCCAAACCAGCCAGGGCCACTGGTGGATTCTTGTATCAGCCCTGACTGGGACTCAAACCCTCAGCCTTGATGTACCGGGACGACGGTCTAACCCGCCGAGCTCCCGGCCCGGCGCTCTTTCTTGAGAAAGAAGTTGTGGTTGAGGAAAAGTGTGGGTGAAGGGGAGTCTCCTTTTGCGAGGCTGTGAGTGGCTGGAAGTGCCGACAGGTGGGGGACAGCCACGTCTCGGGGGACCAGCTTGCCCTCAGGTCGTACCCGGAAATGATCTGCTTCTCGAGAGGAAATCTGGGCAATTGGGCTGGAGATGGGGCTCTGCCGGGGTTCGCCTCCCTCACGCACACGCACACCACACGCACACGCACACCACGCACACGCACACCGCACGCACACGCACACCACACGCACACGCACACCACATGCACACCTCACGCACAGCACATGCACACGCACACCTCACGCACACGCACACCACACGCACTCACTACTTTTGAGCAGGGACTCCAGGAAGATACTTGCGTTCCTAACTGACAGTGCTCGAAGGTGTGCGACACCCCTGAGGCCAGGACGTGGAATCCACTTCCACCCGTATTTTCAGAGCCGGGCCAGGTATGTGAGCTTCTGGGGGTGCCGGGCAGGCCTGGTGTCCCTACCCTCTCATGCCAGGCCACAGCGGCAGCATGCAGGCCCCCAGAACCGCACCCGGGGGTGCCACATTGTCATACATGTGCAAACCACATCGACGAGGGAAGGGGCCGGTCAGAAACAGGGTGCATGTTTTAGTGGGTCTGTTGCCTTAGTTACTTGTGGGAGATGAGAACCGTGCAGGGGTGAGGGGCCTGGGCAAGGTGCCTGCAGGTCTATTCTCTGGTGGGCCATCTTTCCTCGCCAGCCTCCAGGCCAGAGGGGGCACAGGGTGTCTCTAACCTGACTCCTCTGTCCCCACATTGAGGACATGGCCCCATTCCAGCCTCAGCCTTGGCCTCTGCCCTTCGGGGTCTGCACTCCTGGGGGCTCAGGGCTTCCTAATAAGGGCGTGCAAACGGACCCTTTGGAGTCCTACCCGAAGTTCTGGACGAAAGACAAATGTGTGTTTTTCCGGGGAGAGGTTTTAGCACTCATCAAAAGGAGAATAAGAATCATGAACTTTTACTGTTGGGAGACCTTTCTGACCCCTGGGGGGGTTGGACAGACCCCTGCTCCTCTCCCCCAGAACTCTCTGGGGAACCTGGCTAGAGTGTCACCGATGGATGTCAGCCCGAATGACCTTCTGCTGTGTGAGCTGATGGCGGATGTCCACGCCCACCCCACGGAGACTGGCTGTGCCTCCCGTGGCCCTGACTGTGGAGGTCACCCGTGGGCTGACCTAGCACCGGTGTGAGCGACGGCAGGGCTGGCCATGGCCTGGGAACACAGACCCTTCAGAAACTCCCACTGCTCACCAGCTTCCCCAAGTCTCCCTCTGAAACGTCCGGCCCTGAGTCTGACCTGTACCTGGGTGACCAGCGTGTCCTACTTGGCCTAGCACTTTCCTGGTTTTCAAACTGCAAGTCCTGTGTCCCCAGAAGCCTTTCAGTTCTGGGCGAACCTGGAGGGTAGGCCTCCACCTGGTGCCCCCTGCCCCCCGCTTCTGTAACTGTGGAGCAGGTGCTGTGGGTCAGGTCTCGGTAGGGATCGAAGTGTTGGAGCCTGGCCCCTACCGAGGGGAAGGTCCGGGTGGACCACAGGCTCAGCAGGTGACAGGTTCTGGGTGGCATCCTAGAGAAGGGGTGTCTTGAGCTGGACCCTGGAGGTGAGTGTGGCCTCGGGTAGAGAGGGAGTCTCTTCCAGCCACGGTGCAGAGACAGCTGATCTCCGGCCTGGGCAGGTGTCCACAGGTGGTTGGAGGTATGGATGACATGGAACAAGGACACCTTGAGTCTGGGCTTTGTTCTGTGGGTGGTGGGCTTTGCCTGGGCCCCTGACATTTCCTGGGGTGTTCTGATCCCCTCACTGTCCCCCCTGAAGCAGGGGCCCAGGATCCTCTAGCTCATGATTTTCTCTGGGAGCAGTTCATGCTTTTCATTGACTGGACGCATTGAACACGGAAGACACCAGCCAAAGGGATCCTGTGACAGCCTGCGGGGCAACCCTGCAGGTCTGACCCTGACCTTTCCCTTCTGCCACCAGGATCCTGGTCACCAACAACCAGCTCTTCAGCAGCTCCTACGACCGGACAGCTCGCGCCTGGAACGTGGACAAGGGGCAGGTGTCCCGGGAGTTCTGGGGCCACCGCAACTGTGTGCTGACTCTGGCGTACTCCGCCCCCGGGGACCTCCCCGGGGCTCCCTTCGAGGAGGAGGCTGTGGCCGGGGGGCTGCTGGTCACAGGCAGCACGGATGGCACGGCCAAGGTGTGGCAGGTGGCCAGTGGCTGCTGCCACCAGACACTTCGGGGCCACACGGGCGCTGTGTTGTGCCTGGTGCTGGACACGCCGAGCCACACGGCCTTCACGGGCAGCACGGACACCACCGTCCGTGCCTGGGACATCCTGAGTGGGGAGCAGCTGCGTGTGTTCCGGGAGCACCAGGGCTCTGTCATCTGTCTGGAGGTGAGACCTGCCCGGCCCCCGTCTGTCTGCCAGGGAGGTCCCTGGGTGGTCCCCTGTGCTGCCCTGCCCCCGTGGGCAGTCAGCTTGGGCTGCACAGCAAATGTCACGCATGGGGGTGGGGTGGGGTGAAACAACAGATGCAGTGTCTCTCAGTTCCAGAGGCTCCCAGTCCAAGGTCAAGGTGTCTGCAGGGTTGGTTTCCTCCATGGCCGTCCCTCTGTGTCCACATTCCCTCTACTCGGAAGGACACTAGTCCCCCTGGGTTAGGCAGTAACCACCTAGTTGACACCTGGCAGTAGTGGTCACTGTGAACATGGGTGCGGAGCCCCATGCGTGTTGTGTCTGTGACCCCCGAGGAGGGGCTGGCCCCGTCCTTCCCTGCGGTGAAGCTGCGGAGGAGCAGGGTCACTGACTTGGCTGAGGGCGGTCACGACTGGAAGCCAGGTCTGCCTGACGGTCCGCCTGCCTGGCCTCACTCCCTGTGGGGCAGAGAGGAGCAGCCAGGTTCTGGGGCCCACCAGGGTGGGGCCCACCGGCAGGGCGTGCTGGTGGTGCACGCAGACCGCACGAGCCCTCCCCTTGCCCTCGGAGAGAGGCTTGGAGGGTCCCATGTCCCTCCTCAGCTCGCGAACCGGTACGTGTACTCGGGCAGCGCCGACAGGACCGTCAAGTGCTGGCTGGTGGACACGGGGGAGCATGTGCGCACCTTCCCGGCCCACAGACACAGCGTGAGCGCCCTCAAGTACCACGCGGGCACCTGTAAGTGACCCTCCTGCACCGCCCACGCCCAATGCGCCGGCCTCGTCACCACCTGTCCCCGTCACTCGTCCCCAAGTCCTCCCTGCTCAGGGCCTCTCTGCTTCTCTACTTCTCCCTGGAGGGTCCCTCCCTGAGCCTCGCCTGCCATTCAGGATGGTCAGCGCCCAGGGGCTGCAGCCGGCCACCTCCGTGCATGTGTTCCTCCAGCATTGTTGACAAAGAAAGCCCAAGTCAGGGTGTGAGGACCCCTCCCCAACTTTACCCCACGGGAACACCCAGAGACCTGAATGTTCAGAGGTCCTGGGGTCAAGGGCAGGTCTCAAGGACACATTCTAATTCTCAGCCTGAGACACTCCAGCCAGGCTTGGGGGCCACGGGGCTTTGACTTCACTTGGCATCTTGGTGTGACTGCAGATGAGAGAAAACCCAGAGAACAGTGGTTTAATGAACTGAGATAGGGGTTTACTTTTCTCTCAGAAGAATTTTAGGGGCTGTCAGTTGTCAGGTACCCAGATTCCTTCAGTCACTTTGCTTTGTCATCTTTAGCACATATCTTCTATCTTTAAGGGAGCCTCGTGGTTCAAGATAGCTGCTGGAGCTCCAGCCATCTTGTCATGTTTCAGGCAGGCAGGAAGAAGGAGGAAGCACAAAAGGATGTGTCCTAGCTGATTAGGCCCCTTTATTTTTTTTATTTAAAAAAATTTTTTTTTATCCTCACTCGACATTTTTCCATTTTTTGTTCAGATAGAGCGGGAGGGAGAGAGAGGAAGAGAGAGAGAGAAACATCGATGTGAAGGGACACATCGAGTGGCTGCCACCCGCACGACCAACCAGGGCCGGGGACAAACTGCAACTGAGGTACGTGCCCTTAGTGGGAACCGAACCCGGGTCTCTCTGTACCGCAGGCCGACGCTCCAACCGCTGAGCCAAACCGGCCAGTGCTGATTAGGCCCCCTTTAAAGCTCTTTCCCAGAAGCCTCACCCAAAGACTTTTGCATACATCTTAGACCACTGCCTACAGGAGAGGCCGGATAAGAACATCTTCTCTGGGGACAGCTCCCAGGATCAATCAGGGTTATTTTGGAAAGTAAGAAGGGCAGAATGGTTTATTGGGTAGGCAACAAGCTGTTTATCCCATAGGTGTCAAATTGTCACACGTCTGGGCTTTGCCTGCTCTGTCCAACTGGCTTGCCATGTGTTTACACCCCAGACACACCCTGAAGACAGACACCGTTTCAGGGAAGCAGCCCCCCAACCTCACCACATCTATGTGGCAGGGGGCTCCCAGGTTCCTGAACACCTCTCCCAAAGTGATCCCCAATGCTGTGTTTTGCCGTCAGTCCCCTTCCCCCCATACACACACACACACAGCACTGAGCCCGAGAGGTGTGTGCCCACTCCTGAGAGTAGAGGCGGAGCAGACGATGGGGGAAGAGTCACAGTGGAAAATTCACATTGACTTTCACAGCATAGGTGTTAGATGAAGACAGAATGTGGATCTCTGGAGACAGAGCCTGAGACGCCCTCAGGATTTAGGTGTCTGACACGGACACATTATTATTTTCTTCTTCCTGTGTCCCAACCTGTTAAGTGTGATTATGGCTCTGCTCCCAAATCCAGGGTTTCTAATTTAAAAAGAGTTGCCTAGAGTGCCTCCCCCTGGCAGCAGCTGGGATGGAAGCTGCCGGGAGCGGTCCCCAGGGGCCCTCCCTGCTGCTTGGTCCTTGGTCTTTGCCAACAGGCTGCAGGATGATTAGACTTCATTCCTGACCCTCCTCTCACCCACGGGATATGCAGCAGCCAGACTGTTTGTGGGGAGAGTTGGCGGGAAAGGAGCTGAAGAAACCCCAAAATGAAACTGCCACTCCGGGGCCACATTCACTGGTAGCTTTAGCAGAAAGACTGGGAATAGGCAGGGGACACCGGAAGTGGGGTAAGGAAGGGAGCCCCCTGGGGGCGCTTGCTATGGCTTGCTCAGGCTGCAGGGGGTGTGTAGCAGATGCTGCGGGTGCCATGTTCAGGGGTGCTTCTGGCTGTAGCACCTGAGATCCTCTGCCCGAATGTGTGTCCTGTGAGGGGCGAGGCAGAGGAGGCTGGCAGTTCACACCCACAAGCGAGGTCCTCAGCCAATGACTAATGAGAATTACTGGGTACAGCGCCCAGCGTCCTTGCCCTTGGTGGGGGACAACTCTGATGCGCAGTCTGCACCTTCTCCTTGGGCCCACTAGCAACACCTGTCTGCGCGTCTGTCCGTTCTGTTTCTCTCCCACTTCCCGGAATGTGCTGCCAGATTAACTGTTGGCACTAAAATCCATGTCGGGGTCGGCTTCTGGGACGACCTGGGCTGGAGGACGAGTGACCCAGAGGGTCCGTGTCCTCAGTTCGGGCCCTGACCAGCAGTATCAGCATCACCTGGAATTGGTTAGAAATGCAGGTTCCCAGGCCCCGCTCCTGACCGCCTAAATCAGAAACTCAGGAGAGCCCATCAGTCTGCTGCTTAACGAGCCCAGCAGGTGATTCTCATGACGCCAGGGTTTGAGAACTCTCCCGAAATTCTCTAAGGAAACCCGTCTTTCCCCTGCCAGAGGTCGGCCCGGGGCTCTCCGGTGTGAGCCCCTGAGGGTCCGAGCCCCGTTGGGAGGGCCAGGTTCATACTGAGGGGAGGAGCTTTGTGGCTGGCCTTGCCCTAGTAGGCCCTCGGGTGGTGGGGGAGGGGATGGTGCCTCTGAGCCGGGCCGCAGCCGCGGGAACGCCGAGCAGAGAAGCCAAGCTTCACCGGTGGCTTCCACCAAACGGCCTGAGTGGGAACCTGGGGCCAGGTGGTACCCAGGAGGGGGGGAAGCCCCCGGGGGAGCAGTGCAGGACGACTGCAGGCCGCAGAGGGCCCCTCCCGGCCCTAGTGGGCGCCCTGAGTCGGGGATGTAGCCAGAGCAGGTGCAGCCCCCTTCCAGGGGCGTCCTCTATCCCCGCCTGGACCTTACGCGGCCCTGGGGGGGCGGGCGGGGTCCCGGGAGGCGGGCGGGTGGTCCGGCCCCTGCCCTGCGGCGGCCTGGGGGGCGGGGCATCGGCAGGCGGCCCAGCGGCGCGTGTGTCCGCAGTGTTCACGGGCAGCGGGGACGCCCGCGCGCGCGCATTTGACGCCCAGTCCGGGGCGCTGCAGAGGGTGTTCCGCGGCCACGCCTTCATCATCAACTGCATCCAGGTAGGCGCCCCCGCCGGCGGTTCCGGGCCCCGCGGCTCGACGGCGGAGCGGGGCGCGCCCGCCTGCGCCCCCTTGCCCGGAGGGCGGGGAGGGAAGGAGCGCGGGTCCCCACGCCCCCAGCTCGCCACGGGCAGCACCGCCTTCCTGAGGCTGAGGTCCCCCGGGCCAACGGGTACCCCAGTCGGCTGCGGTAGCTGCCGTTCACGCCGAGGGGGTGACGCACTGGGGCCCAGCGCCCGCCTCACGCCCGCGCCGCGCCCGCAGGTGCACGGCCAGGTGCTGTACACCGCCTCGCACGACGGCGCGCTGCGCCTCTGGGACGTGCGCGGGCTGCCCCGCGCCCCGCCGCCGCGCCCCGCCGCCCCCCAGCGCAGCCTCTCCCGCCTCTTCAGCAACAAGGTGGGCTGCGCCGCCGCCGCGCCCCTGCAGCCGGCCTGAGCCCGCCGGCACCCACCCACGGCCTCATCCAGGCACCCACGGGGGAGCGCGCCCACCCCCCGGTGGCCGGAGGGGAGGCGGCGGCGGTTTAGCCTTTCCTGGTTGGACGCTTGAAGCTGTCCCCGTCCCGTCCGCTGCGAGCCCGCCCACGGAAGGAGCCTGAGCTGGCCTGCGGGGGGCGCCCCGCCCGGGCCCCTGCACGGCGGCCCACTCCGTAGCTCCCAGGGTCTCCAGCCCCAAGCGGCCGGGGCCCCCAGAAGCCGAGCCTTTCCTGCTGAGAGGAGGCGGATGTTTCTTCGGAAAGCCCCGAGCTGCAGATTGTCATCATTTTTGCCAATCGTCCTGAGGACACTGGTAGAGAACCGAAATAAAGGTCCTTAGTGCTCTGGAATTTCTTTTATTCTACAGACTGAGTCCCAGCTTCCGCTCTGAAGGACAGGCAGGAGGGGTGCCAGGAACCAGGGCCCCACACACGTGCCCCTTCCATTGGGTGAAGTGAGGGGCTGTGGCCTGGGGACCCCCTCCAGTGTCACTCGTGTGGGGAAGGGCCGTGGAAGAGGCCGGGGAGCAAGGGACTGGCTCTCCAGCCTGCTAGGTGACAGCAGAGACCCATCACCCCTTTGGAGCATCCGTCTGCTGGAATCGGGGAGGGCCTCTTCTCTGGGGCTGGAGCAGTAGCCCTGGGCCCCAAGCACTGAGCCAGCTCTGCCCTCTGCCTGGTGAAGGCAGGATAGGGACACAGGAGCAGCCGGAGTACTCCTGGCCCGAGGAGCTTTCTGAGAAGGTGGGGCTCAGGCTCTGGAGAGGCTCAGAGGGGAGCCACCCCCAGCAGCCTCTATCCCCGGAAGGGGCACTCTTCCAGCCCTCGGCTGGGCCTGCTTTCTGTATCCACGGTGCCCTCCATCCGTGCCAGGCCCTGGCTGGCTCCTGGTGCAGGAAGAGGAGAAGCGACGGTAGACAGTGTCTGCCCTTGAGCTCAGCATCTCGTCAAGAACAAGCCTCTCTGTGCAGTGAAGTGGGTGCTCCATTGTCTTCGTGCAAAAGGTGTTTCATCAGCAAGATGCTGGATGGGCCTTACCTGCCCCCAGGTGCCGGGTCCAGTCCCCGTGAATAGGGTAGAATTGGCACTAGGTGGAGTAGGAAGGGGTGCACACCCCCAAACCCTGGGAACCCAGGGGCCTCCCCCAGAAAGCAGGCTTGCTGGTGAGAAGCCACATCCCTCACGCTGCATTCTTTGGATGGGACTCCAAGTACAGTCCAGGTGTGGGGTGTCCTGGGTGCCACCTGCTGTGTCTGGGAGCACTCACTTCCTAACCAGGGTCCACCTACCCTAAGGGGGCTTCCCAGGATGCTGAAGCTCAGGTCAGGGAGGGCAGGAGGAGCACACCTTGAGTACCAGCACCCATGTTTACCCACCTTCTCAGACTGCTTTGCAGACAGGGGCAGCTTGAGTCACCAGACGCTGGGGCGCTACCAGCTGACACCACGTTCCTGCCTCACCAGCTCTTACGTCATCTTAGACACCCCCATCATATCCACACACCCCAGAAAATAAACACATGCCACACACACCGGGCACAGCCAGTGGGTGCAGGCTCTAAGTCAGGGGCTACTGCACTTGCTTCTCCACCGGAGCGAGAGGTGGAGACGGAAAGCCACTGCTGGGCATGTACATAGCGTGGCACTGGGGCGTTTGTGTGTCAGAATCCCAGAGGCCTTTGCTACATGTTGAGCGTATAGAGACCAGACAACCCGAAGGTGTGTCTTTGCCCTTGATAAATATATTGAGTTGAAGAAGGGATCGAGGACAGGAAGTAAAGGATGTAGGGTCAGGGAAACAGGGACAGGACACGGCACTGTCACCTGAGCCAAGAGCAGCCAGACTTCACAAGAAAAGTGATGGGCAGATCTGATGAGGGCGACGTGCCCCGGCCACAGCCTCCCACAGCCTCAGGTTGACCGATCCACTCACGGACACCTGCAGCCCCTCCTCCTGGGAGTCCCGGATGGCCCTGGTATGCTGCCACTCAAATCCAGACCCCACCTGCCTTCAGGGTGCTCTGTGGTAGGACTCAGCAGCCCTTCCAACCTTATTCTCTTCCTCCAACACACCCTCTGGGGGGTCAAGAACAGCCCCGTGACCCCATGAACAGGGCATGCTCAGCCTACTACCGTTTGTCCCAGGTCTGGAATGTTCCCTTCTCTCCTCTGTCCAAGGAGAGCCCCTCCAAGGCCCCTCCCTCTGAGACTCCCAGTGTGCTCCCTCCTGGTTGCGTCAACAGCGTTTCCATCATACGTGTCCTTTGCTTCTTCCCGTGCCCACCAGAGCAGGGAGTGGCACATGGGCGCTCCTGTCCTGCATCACACAACTGGCCAGCGGCAGGACCAGACCCGTCTCCCAGCACAGGCTTCTCTGTGTCTCCACGAGAAAATGGAGCAAAGTCAGAGACCTGCCGGTGTGACTCTGCTTCCCTAGCCTTTTCCAGGGTCATTTTGGAAGATACAGGCCATGCTTGGCCCAAGCCCAGGACAGTAACTTGTTAGCCAAAAGCTGCAATTCAGGCCCAAAATCTGACAGATGGTCTCAAACGAGGCTGAGAGTCCCCTTCATCACCTGTCTCTCATCACCCGGGTCGTCAGCACAACCGCCCTTCCCCTCCTCCCAGCCTCAGCCCCTGCCCTGCAGGTTATAACTCATCTCTCTATCACAGACACTGATGTTCTGATTTCCACACGGAACTCGGTGGAAGCCAAGGTCTGGAATCTAGACGGCTCTCTAGACTCCTGGGCATTTTCAACACTCAGAACAGTTTAGGAGTTGGAGTAACTGCAAAGTTAGGCTGACAAGCTTTGAATATATTTTCCACCTTTTATTTCCATCTGCATCGTCCGTTTTAGAAGAACAACAAGGAAAGATGCCTACCCCTTCCAGCGGGACTGCTGTCCAAGCTGAATGGAAGCGATTAGTGGAAAAGGGAGCCTCTGGTAGCCCTGGGACAGGACATGGCAGTGCCCACCTGCCCGCGGTCAGGAGCTTCCGGCGACTTGGGAGCACATCTGGCGATTGATTCCGTCAGTGCCCAGCTGCTGGAAGGAGTCTGCACTTAATACCCACCCACAGGGATCGCGTGGCGCAGTGAAGGGTTCTGGGAGCCAGCGAGAGGCCCCGCCCCGCCAGCAGCGCCTGGGAAAGGCCGCGGTCCTGGTGGGTGACCTGGCTGGCAGTGAGCTGCCCGGGGCACTGCGGCACCTGAAAATGCTACTTAAAAATAAGTGGCTTTTGTTAGCGTTTAAGACTTTCCTATTTAATAAAGATATTTCTGTAAAGGATTCTGAGCATATATAAATTCTGAATTTCAACCTTGAATTTCAGGAGCACATCTTGCTAAACTAAGAGCATGACGCACATGGAGGCTGAGGCGTCCGGCACAATCCGGATGGCTGCCGGAGCCCGCCCCAAGGCACCCGAATGGCTGGGACCTGAAGGACCTTCGGGCAGAGAGGGCGGAGCAGGCCGCAGAGCTGCATCTTGGGACGTGATGAGCAGGGCCAGACAGGTGAGGAGGAGACAGAGGGAGTGCCCCTCCCCACTCTCTCTTCCTGAGACCCCCCAGGTCCGCCCTATTCTCCAGTCTTCCGGTTTCTGGGTGGAGAGCAGCCCAGCAAGGAGCTCCTGCCCCAAACCACCCAGCAGGCCCAGCACCCTGGCCCCCACCTAAGTCTCCTCTGACCTTATCGGTCCCGACCCCTGCCCGCCCCTCCTACGCCCGAGTAGGAAGCACCTGGAACATCAGATAGAGTAGGAAGAAACAAAGGGAGACCTGCACCACACTTTCAGAATGATAGGATTTATAGGCAGAAACTTAGTGCTTCCTCTGTTCATCATTTAGTTTCTCTTTGTTGCTGACTTTATATTTTCTACATAGGATAAGTACTCTGCGATAATAATTTCTTCGTCTTCCAGAGTCGAGTCGAGATAATCCTCTTCGTGCTCAGGGATGTCTTCCAGTATTTCATTGACGGCCTCTGTCTCCATGTCTTCATCTGCTGAGGCGCTAGACGTACCTGCCACAGTCACGTGCGACAGGTGAGTCAAGGGAGAACGGAAAGGGGACACAAGCCCACGGGGAGTCTGCCCTGAGCCCGTCAGCCTCAGCCACACGGGCGGCCTGCCGTGGGTGTCCTCACCCTTCTCGGTCCCCGGGGTGGCCCAGAAGTCCATCCCCCCCCATCAGACCCACCTGCAGAATCAGAAGGGGACGTGGCTGGCGTGGACGGAGCCTCCTCCACGGCGAGCTGCAGGTCAGCAGGGAGGCTTCCTCCGTTGTGAGCGAGGGTCTGAGCTGCCAGCTGCACGTTTCCCCCGAACACTCTCAGGGCGGCTTTGGCCGCCACTGGGTCAAAGCCCATGTACACCAGCTGGGGGAGGACGCAGGGAGGTGGCGGCCACTGCAGAGGCCGGGGCTGCCCGGAGCGGGCACACATCCAACGCTCCTGCCCCCCCGCACAGCTGGACAGCCTTATTGTTGAGGGAATGCGTTCGAAACCCACGGCACGTGTGTACCAGGGCCTCCTGCACACCCAGCCGACACCTGCGTGCATGACCGGCCTGGGAAGCACAGAGGACTGGCATCGACAGGTCCGTGCCCAGTCATCTCAGAGAGGCCGTGAGCTCGTGGGCCGAGGAAAGCGCTGCCCGAACCTTGTTACCAGGCCACTGATTTAGTGGCCACAACATACTAGGTGTCCTCACACGAAGGGGGACGATGTGGCCCTGCAGTGCCTTTCTTATCCTTCCTGTCTCCCTTCCACCCTCCGCACTGCCGGTGCTCGGCTGGCCCCTGGGACGGGCCCACGTCACAGCAGGAGCCCAGGGGCCAGGACTCAGCCCTGCCCCACTGCCGACCTCGTCACCCCACCATTCCCGCCTGAGAATGGGGCACAGAGGACTCTCACTTACTTGCTCGATATCTTTCTGGGAAGGGCTTTCTTGATGGTTGTTGGTCTCAGCATTGGAATCACTGAGCCACCACATGTGAGGGTCACTGAGGAGAATCTGAAACACAGGGACACCCTCACTCGGCACCAGCCCTGCTCACGTGCGCAGACACTGAGCCCTGTCACACGCGGGCGGCCACAGCCAGAGGCCCGCACACGGCCTGTGGGGAGCTGGGCAAAGGCGCCGTGGAAGCAGAGCGGGGGACCCCCGCCGGGCTGGGCTGGACAGGGGGTGCTCGAAGGCTTCCCCAAAGGCAGGGATGAGGTGGGGCCCATCCTGCCGCCTCTGGAGGGGTTCGAGAACGAGAGTGCTGACCCTCAGATCCAAGCCAGGAAGGGGGGCCCACAGGAGTGGGGCTGGCAGCGGGAAGGGCCTGGGGGGAGCTCAGATGAAGGCCTGGGGGGCCTCACGCCTGGGCTGAGAAGGGGCGGAGGCGGTACCTTCAGGGCCACGTCCAGGTCCCCGCCCGCCTGGTGCAGGGCCTGCTTGGCGGCGCGAGTGGAGTAGCCCATCCCCTTCAAGGAGCTGATGCTCTCCAGGCGGCGGCGCTTCTTCTCCTTCTCTTCTCTCCTTATCTGGGCCAGTTCCTTTGGGGAAACAGCAGATCTCAGAGCCGGGAGAGTGTGTGGGAGGCGTTCTCATCGACGCTCTGGGGGATCTGTGGGACTGACAGGCAGGTGACCCTCTGCCAGTCTCGGCCAGTCGACAGCACAAGGGCCAAGGGCAGTGACCATGGCGGTGGGCTCCCGGCTCGGAGACCTCAGTCTGGGAGGGGCGGGAGGGGCGGAGAGCACCTGGTCTCCACCAGCACTAGGTCCGGCACACAGAGCCAGCGAGCTCTCTGCCCGCTTCAGAGAAGCGCACGGCCTCAGGGGAGGGGCTGGGAGAACATTCTCCATGGGCAGGGCTGCGCAGCCGCACGTGAGTCACTGGCTCTTGGTGAAACGTGGAGTCTGTCTGGGGGGTTCTGGGGGATGCCAGAGCTGCTGCTCCCCAACCACACTCAGTATATAAGGCGTCAGGAAGAAGGAGAATTCTTTTTCAAATTATTTCATTTTAAAACATTGGCTTTCCAAATGCTAATAAAATCTTACTACTCTCAGATAACAGTGTGGTGACAAATACAGCATCAGCAATGTTTGCTCATTCACACTGAACTAGACTTCGGACAGACACACAGTCAGTGCAGACACACAGAACCGGTCTCTTCAGTCTCCGCCTTCACCTCGACTTCTGTGGTGGGTGCACAGCTAGAAAGGACCTGGTCATCTGCACGACTTCGTGTTTCAGAGGGAAGACATGGTTCCCTTTCCTACTACCCCATGGTCAGTTCTCTCAGGACCCCCGCTCCTTACTGTGAACTCGGTATCAGACAGGGAACGTTCCCTCCAACTCCAAGCCCTACAGTGTTTACTGTATTTACTTCCACTTGTTTCAAATGATCGTGCTTTTGTGCCTTTGCCTTCATACGTGATGCTGATCGTTCCTGTGACCCGACTCCTGTTTCTAGGCAAGAATACCATCTCAAACCACACCAGCCGAGGGGAAATACGGCCCCTTACAGTGTTTCCAGAAATACGCTGATACAGATCAAAAGGGGTGACAGAAGCCTGCCTGGATAACTGTCCTTGGAGCTCCCGGCCACCACGCAGGAAACGAGATAAGGAAACTTCAGGCAGTAAGACGACCAGCTCCTCCTGCTTCCAGCCTGAACGCGAGCTCCTGCCCTAGACACCCGCTACGGGTCCCCCCCTGTTCTCTCCCCGAGAGCTCCTGCCCCGGACACCCGCTACGGGTCCTCTCCTTCTCTCCCTGAGAGCTCCTGCCCCGGACACCCGCTACGGGTCCCCTCCTGTTCTCTCCCCGAGAGCTCCTGCCCTGGACACCCGCTACGGGTCCCCTCCTGTTCTCTCCCCGAGAGCTCCTGCCCTGGACACCCGCTACGGGTCCCCTCCTGTTCTCTCTCCCGGAGAGCTCCTTCCTGCCCTGGACACCCGCTACGGGTCCCTCTCCTGTTCTCTCCCTGAGAGCTCCTGCCCTGGACACCCGCTACGGGTCCCCTCCTGTTCTCTCCCCGAGAGCTCCTGCCCTGGACACCCGCTACGGGTCCCTTCCTTCTCTCTCCCCGAGAGCTCCTGCCCTGGACACCCGCTACAGGTCCCCTCCTTCTCTCCCCGAGAGCTCCTGCCCTGGACACCTGCTACGGGTCCCCTCCTTCTCTCCCCGAGAGCTCCTGCCCTGGACACCCGCTACGGGTCCCCTCCTTCTCTCTCCCCGAGAGCTCCTGCCCTGGACACCCGCTACAGGTCCCCTCCTTCTCTCCCCGAGAGCTCCTGCCCTGGACACCCGCTACGGGTCCCTCTCCTTCTCTCCCCGAGAGCTCCTGCCCTGGACATCCGCTACGGGTCCCGCTACTATTCTCTCTCCCCGAGAGCTCCTGCCCTGGACACCCGCTACGGGTCCCCTCCTTCTCTCCCCGAGAGCTCCTGCCCTGGACACCCACTACGGGTCCCCTCCTTCTCTCTCCCCGAGAGCTCCTGCCCTGGACACCCGCTACAGGTCCCCTCCTTCTCTCCCCGAGAGCTCCTGCCCTGGACACCCGCCACGGGTCCCCTCCTCTTCTCTCCCCGAGAGCTCCTGCCCTGGACACCCGCTACGGGTCCCCTCCTTCTCTCCCCGAGAGCTCCTGCCCTGCACACCCGCTACGGGTCCCCTCCTGTTCTCTCTCCCCGAGAGCTCCTGCCCTGGACACCCGCTACGGGTCCCCTCCTGTTCTCTCTCCCCGAGAGCTCCTGCCCTGGACACCCGCTACGGGTCCCCTCCTGTTCTCTCTCCCTGAGAGCTAAGGCCCTCCGGAACGAGCTGCCTACTGCCTCAGGCTTCACACCTACTAACAGCACAGGGGCGACCCCGCGTCCCGAGACCACCTTCAGGTACCTCTCTGCGGTTGGTAATGTGGGTGGCGGCGTGGTCCACGTTCCCGTCACAGGCCCTGAGGCCGAGCCGGGCTTCCTGGGCGGTAAACCCCAACTGCAACAAATTGTGAACTTTCGACGGATCGATATATAGCTCTTTAAAGAGCTGATGAGCCTGCAGAGAGGAGAAAGAGGAGTCATGTAACCAGTGCAACATTGAGGCTTAACACAGAGCTAGGCCTGGAGGGGATGAGACTCTTCCCAATGGGTGTGTCCGGTTTTGAATGAAAATCTATTATCGACTACAACAAGTGCAGACAGACAACACTCCCTGCTCATGACTTATCTGTAACATGACACGGGAACATGAGCTGAGTAGCATGGAAGGGGTTAGTATCCATTATCTCCTGTTTACAATGACTCCCCTGATCTGAGCTGTGCACAGGTATTGTCACCTTCCGGGGAGATGGGGGTAGCCACCTGGTTGAGTCCAGGCGATGGTATGCAGAACTGAGGGGCACAATTTCTGGTCCTCTCTCAAGACTCTCCTGCCCCCTCTGCTGGCTGGAGGAGGCACCGACAGGAGCCACCTTGGATGCCACAGCAAGGCCTCCACTGCCCTGGCCTGCTCGCCTCTAGGCAGCTGGTTGACACACAGAAACTTCTAGCCAATCAAAGTCACCAGCTTTTAAAGGTTTCCTTACTGTGGCATTTGGACTGACCCCTATGGTATATGTGAGAGAGAGAGGGAATGGGAGAGAGGGGATGGAAGAAATATGTGGTCCACACAAGTCCAAACTATTGAGTTTACAAAATACTTCTAAGAATTACAAAAATGTAGGTGGCCCTGGATGGGTAGCTCAGTTGGTTGGAGCGTCATCCCGTAAACCAAAAGGTTGCGGGTTTGAGTCCCAGTCAAGACGCATGCCTGGGTTTCAGATTCAATCCCTGGTCAGGGCACTGGGGCATGTATGGGAGGTGACAGATCAATGTTTCTCTCTCCCTCAACCTCGCTCTAAACTCAGTAGAAGCATGTCCTTAGGTGAGGATTTAAAAAACAAGTAGGTGAAAATGGTTACAGCTCGGGGTGTTCATTTCTTACCTTGTTGAGATACTCACGAGCCTCCTCCCCGTTCCCACTGTGGTAATTTCGGATACCTTGAAGCAAGTAAAGTCTTAAAAACAACACCTTCTCTTTCCCACAATTTCCCTAAAATTATTGGGGGGAAAAAGGATAAAACAGTCTTACTTCCAATCACAGGTCAGTAACAGTCACGTTGTAGTCCCTTCCTCTCCACGGGGCAAAATGGAATCGCTACAATGTCTGCATTTTTGCTGCAGCTGCTGCCAAGGTGCAGGCCCCAGAGGACAGCGACATCCTCTGTCCCACATGGAAGAAACGGTGTCAGAACACCTGGCTCCGGATCTCTGGGGCAGTGGCCCCTCTGGTGAGTGGGGATGTATGCAAAACCCAAACCCAGAACAGCTGACACGGCCTGGTCACCCCCAAGCATTCTGATGACTTGTGGAAATCACCTGAGGAAAATCCTTATTCAAATCACAACACTTGAGCTGTGACTCACTCATCGGAACTGTCACTCTTCAAAATGCCTATTTTCTGCCTTTTAATCTTCTATTAGACTCTACTGAACACGTGGGGCAGGTGATCAGTGGGGTTCTCTGACTAGGTAACTGTTTCTCTGGGCTGAACACTGCACAGACCAAAGTAACAGCCCACCTCCTTTGGGCAGCAGTCTGAATACTGTAAGAGGAATGAACTCAAGTTCTAGAAAAGGGCTCAACAGTACTTCTAACAAGTCACAGTAATGTACCTTTATGTGGACCAGTCTTTGATGATTTTCTCCATAGCAATTTTTAAAGCATTTCTGGGCCAAGTTTAATTTTTTCTCTGCATCGTCAAGGCATTCCAGCTGCTCCAGGCGGAAGTAACACCACACGATGTCCAGCTGGAGCACCGCGTAGTTGTCCACCGTGTCCAGCAGCTCTCGGCAACACTCACTGGGGGGAGAGGCGCGGCATCACCCAGACACGCCTGTGAGCACCCACTTGGGAGTTCCCAGAATCCTCCTCTGTTCCAGTGTATTTCCAAAGACTGACAGCTCTGAAACAGACCCCTGTCTCCTGCCTTGTCTTCACATTTACTAACCTTTCTTCTGCTGTCTCTAGCCTGCAGTTAACTCGACCCATCCAACGTGCTTTTCAGTAAAGACACTGTACTTCTCTACAATCCCATGTGGGCCTTTTTTTTTTCTTTATTGATTTTAGAGAGAGAGAAGTGAGAGGAAGAGAGAGAGAGAGAAACATCAATGAGAAAGAAACATCAACAAGAGAGAACATCGATTAGCTGCCTCCTGCATGCCCCTCACTGGGGTTTGGGCCCACAACCTGGGCATGTGCTGACTGGGAATGTTGGTGCATGGGTCGATGCTCAACCACTGAGCCACACCGGCCGGACCCATGTGGGCTTTTTGTGCAACTTCCCTGCCTCTACTTACTGTGCCCACCATCCTCTGCCTTCTTGACAGTATGGAATGTGGTTACAGTAACTGTTTTAGTGTCCTTGTCTACTAAGTATTTTATGACTTGTATTGCTCAGGAATCTGACACAGTGACCCCAACTTCCACTCTCTGCTAGACGTCTTTCCCAGCATAGCAGGCGTGTGTGCGCGCGCGCACTAAGCTGCTAATTCTGAGCCCTAACTTCTTTTTTTCCCTTTGGTGCTGCCAAGGTAGCAAACTACACACGTTTGTATTTATCTTCTTGAAGTGTACAGTATATCTTAGGAATTCATCAAAATGTAAAAAAAACACTCAAGTTGCTCCCTTTTGACGAATTTCGAACATCATCTAGTTTTCAAATGTCTCATCTGCCTGGATCACAGTCTCGGTACCATTCCCATTACAAGGAACCAGGAGTCCTTGGGAAGCTGGCTCCTGGGCTGAGGCCAGAGATGCCCACAATGACTCTGGAACACCTTGGGGACCAGAGGCCAGGATTAGGTCAAAAGGATGCAGGGGCTGCCCGCCGGCCACAGATGGCCAACTGAAGCACTGAGGTTTGAAACACATCAAATGTGTTAAAATCCATGTTTGTATATTGGTACTTGTTTTTCTAATTTTATTTATTGATTTGAGGGGCGGGGGGAGACGAAGGAAGATAGAAAGAGAGAGAGAAAGAGAAAGCGAAAGAACAGTGTGCTGTTCCACCCTTCATGCGTTCCCTGGTTAGTTCTTGTATACGTGCTGACCAGGGAATGAACCCACAACCGTGGCTATTGGGATGAGAGTCTAACCAACTGAGCTACCTGGCCAGGACCCATATATTGGTATTTTAAAGAGGAAAGAAACACAGACAACAGTGTGGGAAGGCAGAAGGAGGCAGGAGTGGGGAGGAGGGGGTCAGCGGAGGACAAAAGGGGGACATCTGTAACACTTTCAACAATAAAGTTTAAAAAAAAGAAGGAAAGAAAATCTCACTGGTGACATCATGTTTACAGGATGCTAGGGAAGCCACTCGTTTATTCTGAAGACAAGAAAATAAGAAAAAAGAACCAAGCATTTTATTCTATCTTTTGGTACAAACTGAACCTAGCATAACCAAACAGCTAATGAGGAAAACTTTTTTTTTTTTTTTTCCAGAATTCTAGCAACAAATGCAGAAGGAATAATAAAGTGTCACCTTTTTGCAGCCCCAGTAAAACAGTGGATCTGGGGAAGGCCATCTCCCCCAAATCCACTGGGTGAAGAGCTGCTGGGGACTGGAGAACAGGCCGTTCAGGCTGACACCACCCCGCAAAGCACGAACACAATGTCCTACATGCTTGTTGCAACAAAAATAAGTGCACGTGTTTATAACATTCTTCACAGGGAAGAGAGATCGAGTAGAAGTATTTAGAGAAGCCTGGCCAGTGTGGCTCAGTTGGTGGAGCATCGGCCCATGCACCAAAAGGTCATTGGTTCAATTCCAGGTCAGGGCACATGCCCAGGTTTCGGGCTTGATCCCCAGTAAGGAGCATGCAGGAGGCAGCTGATCAATGTTTCTCTCTCACATGGATGTTTCTCTCTCTCTCTCTCTCTTCCTCTTCCTTCCTCTCTCCATAATCAATAAAAACATATATATATATTTTTTATCCTCACCCGAGGACACTTTTCCATTTTTTTGTTCAGGTAGAGTGGGAGGGAGGGAGAGGAACAGAGAGAGAGAGAGAGAAACATCGACGTGAAAGGGACACATTGAGCGGCTGTGTCCCTTTCACGTCGATGTTTCTCTCTCTCTCTCTTCCTCTCCCTCCCTCCCACTCTACCTGAACAAAAAAAAAAAAGGAAAAATGTCCTCGGGTGAGGATTAAAAAAAAACAAAAAACAAAAAAAACATATTTTTAAAAAAATTAATATTTACAAAAGAAATAATTTACAAGTTGGTCTACACCGTAACTACTCTTGCACATTAACCACCGCCTGGGGTGAAAACGTGACGTGTGAGGTGTAGAGGCTGGGCGGGTGCTGCGAGTACTGGGCCATCTTCCTGACACCCGGGGCCCCGGTCACGCGTGCCTACCAGAAATACTTGTCGGCATCCAGGAGACAAGGCAAGGCTATTCCGTATTCTTTTCTCTTCAGGAAGGCTCTGCCCTTCTCGTGATACCCCATAGCTAACATAAGGGCCTGGGGAGACAGGGAATTTAGTAAACATCACTTTATACTATAATAGAAATTATACTAAAAGCATATTAAGTCTGAAGAAATCAAAGTGAAACAAAAAAGAACACAACAAATTTAAAAGCCCAAATTAATGAAAATATAATTATAGCTTTACTTCATTTAAACACTAAAACCGAGCAGTCAGTTTACTGTGGCTGATACGGTCACAGCCAGCACCTGTCCCTTCGTTTTCATCAGTTTATTTCAGTGTCTGCTGACCTAGATCTAGCCCCAGTATTCTCTAAGACTAAAGATATAAAAAAGCAGCCATAATCCTGTATCCTTTTAAAAAGGAACATTCAGCCTGGCCATTGTGGCTCAGTGGTTGAGTGTCAACCCTGCACTAAGAGGTCACCAGTTCGATTCCCGGTCAGGGCACATGCCCAGGTTGTGAGCCTGATCCCCAGTGGGGGGCATGCAGGAGGTGACCTCTCATTGACATATCTATCTCTCTCTAAAAATCAATAAAGAGCCCTGGCCGGTTTGGCTCAGCGGTTAGAGCATCGGCCTGCGGTCCGGAGAGACCTGGGTTCGGTTCCCGCTAAGGGCATGTACTTCGGTTGCAGTTTGTCCCCGGCCCTGGTTGGTCGTGCGGGTGGCAGCCACTTGATGTGTCCCTTCACATCGATGTTTCTGTCTCTCTCTCCCTTCCTCTCTCTCCCTCCCACTCTATCTGTACAAAAAATGGAAAAATATCCTCGGGTGAGGATTAAAAAATAAAAAAATAAAAAGATAAAAATCAATCAATAAATAAATAAAAAGGAGCATTCACTTTACTTTCTATTCTTAATCAAATTTTTTCTATCAACTCAAGCATTTCCAAAACAAATTTTAAAGGGTGATCCGAACATTTTATTTTATTTATTTTGCATTTATCTTTAGATAGAGCAAAGGGAGAAAGGTGGGAAGAGAGAGGGAGAAACATTGATGTGAGAGAGACACATCGACTGGTTGCCACCCACACAACCCCAACTGGGGCCGGGGACAAACTGCAGTCCAGGTACGTGCCCTTAGTGGGAACTGAACCCGAGACTCTCTGGTCTGTGGGCTGACGCTCTAACTGCTGAGCCAAACGGGCCAGGGTGGGTGATCCGAACATTTTAAAAGTTCATTAATATTTTTAGATTTCAATTTTTATATAATTCAATCTTGCAAAGATTTTTCAACATGACCTGGATGTTATTTAATGTAAGAGAGCACTGGACAAGTAATTCCAACATTAAAAACACAAAGCAAACATCGATCCACTGGCAGCTACACAGTTATCTTACTACAACTTAACTTTAATCCTCAATTTAAAAAAAAATGTTTTTATTGATCTTTTAGAGAGAGAGGGAAAGATAGAAACATTGATATGAGAAAGAAACATCGATGGCTGCATCTTGCACGCCTCCTACTGGGGATCGAACCTGCAACCCGGGCATGTGCCCTGACCAGGAATCGAACTGGGACCTCTAAGTCCATGGGATGACGCTCAGTCCACTAAGCCACACCGGCCAGGCTAATTCTCAATTTTAACAGAATAATTCATATAGTGAAACCTACTCAAAACTCTACTTTAAAGACAGAAAAATTAAAATTACCTGGACCCACAGTCATTAGAGCTTTTCCCTGTAAGAAGCTACTGACTCCAGCTCCGAGACTGAGCTCAGGGTCCAGGCTGTACAGTGCTATATATGGAGAACCCCTGGGATGCGTCCAAAGGTAAAACCACCTCCTACCTAGTCCAAATTCTAGAGCAGGGAAAGAGAGAGTGGAAAGACAGGGGAGACACGGCAGAATCACCTGATAATATTCTCCCAAACTACACAGTTCTCCCGGACCCGCCTCTGATCCATTCCTTAGGGGACATGGCCCTCTAGTAACATAAACCACACCAAACCATCGATGCCGAAGGGACTGTTCAGAGCCACTGCTGCAGGACAGCAAGGTCATGCCGTTTTGGACACTGCTCTGCAAATGACAGGGTGCGCCCGCTGTGTGCAGCTGTGCTTGTATGGTCACAGCCTCTGTTTATAAGCTGGAGACAGAAAACTGACTCTGATCCTTTGCAACATTCCAAGATAAGATGACTAGAAAGCCAGCCTGTTATGACAGCAAACCCACGAACAGGCCGTGCACTTCTCACAGTACTTACTTTTCTTTCTGACGGTGGAATCTTGATTGATCTGCCCGTCTGGTTAGCTATGTCTAAGTATGGTGTGCTTTCTGAATCCATCATCTCGCCTGCAAGAAGACCAAAGGGGCCTTGATGAATTCAATGTTAAAAAGCAATGATGGTGACACTTAAACTGTTAGACTGTTGGGAACAAAAGCCAATGAGAGTTTTGGCTGGGGTGGCTCAGTTGGCTGAGTGCTGTCCTGTGCACTGAAAGGTGCTGGTCGATTCCCCATCAGAACACATGCCTGGCTTGCAGGCTTGATCCCCAGTAGGGGGCGTGCAGGAGGCAGTCAATAGATGTTTTTCTCTCACATCGATGTTTCTCTCCCTCTAAAAATCAGTAAAATTATTTTTTTAAAAAGAAAAGCCGATGAGAAATGTGGCGCCCCATGATGGCGGGATTGGCTGCACCCATGAAGCACTGAGCGAGACGAACAGCCCAAAGCCCCGTGTACCTCTCTCTGCCAGAATCTCTAGTCCTCTCTTTGTCCTCTGAATTCTCTTTTCTTTCAGTTCGGCTTGGTTTTGCTCTTCCTCTTCGACCTGGAAGTTCTTCCTCGCGTCCTCCTCCGACTGCTTCAGCTCCAGCACCATGGCCTTCACGTTGTGCGCCACGCCCTGCTCTTCCAGGGCCTTCCCTGTGGGGAGCAGAGTGCGCTGTGAGCGCCCACGCCGGCCTCCAGGCCACGCCCACGCTCAGCGGGTTCTTGATCAGGCCGCGGCACCTGCAGGCCACCAGGCCACGCAGGCACCCGGGGAGGGCACGTTCAAATCTGGCTTGGGTGAGCTCAGCCAGTGCAAACAGCGCTAACTCATCCTCTCCAGTCTTCTGTATGCTCATCATAAGATCAGCTGAAGCAATCAATACTTGAGACCCCACAGGGAGAGCACTACACTAGGCAACAGAAAAGGAAAATGAGAAAGGGTGACCCTGAATTTTCCTACCCCTGGCTGGGGAAATGATCCACCCCATTCACAGCCCTGGACCAGCAGCCACCAGCAGTGCGGGGAGGTCACTGACTGTCGTGGTTAACAGCAAAGACCTTGGACTTCGGTGAGGATGGCGGGTAGGTAAACGGTATCCGTCCTCCCACAGCCACATCAAAGTTACATCTAAACTACACAACAACCATCATTCAAAGCTACCTGACATCGCGCCGAATGGAGGTCCTACGACTACGGAATTAAAGCAGCAGCCGCATGGAGACTGGTAGGAGGGCGGAGGGGTCGGGCTGGTCCCACACCCACGGGTGGCGGATAAAAATCAGGAGGACACCTCGGCAGGGAAGGTCCTCCCTGAGGACTGAGGGGTCCCTGTCCCACACCAGGCACCCCACTCAGGGTTCCAGTGCCAGGAAGAGAGTCCCCATAACTTCTGGCTGGAAAAACCAGCGGGAACTGAGGCTCAGGGAGGCTGAGGCAGCTGGAGCCCCAGGCAGCTCCTTAAAGGGCCCGCGCACGGACTTATCGGACTCTCTCCCTCTAAGCTTAGAGGGGAGGCAGCTCGAGTGGCGCCAGAGACATAGAGGGAAGAACTGAGCTGTTTGGCACAGGAGCGAGAGCTGGAGAGGGGACTGTCTCCTGGACAAAAGTGCTGTCAGAGGCCTTTGTTCCTTTGGAGAGCCCTTCCCTGGGGCGGTAGCCCCGCCCTGGTGATTCCCTGAGGCCCCGCCCTGCCCCACACAACTTTCAGACCCACCCAAGCTGTTGCCAGTTGCTTAACCATAAGATTGGCCTGTCTCGGATCCTGCTTCAGGTTTTCCTAAATTCTTTCAAACAAGCAGCATCTGGTCTCAGCGAGCCCCATACCGCTCGCTACGTAATACATAGAAACAAACACAGGGAAGCAGCCAAAATGAGGAGACAAAGAAACAGGTCCCAAATGAAGAACAGAACAAAACCCCAGAAAAAGAACTAAGCAAAATGGAGATAAGCAACCCAACAGATGCTGATTCAAAACACTGATTATAAGGATGCTCAATGAACTTAGTGAGGGCCTCAAGAGCATAAAAAAGGACCAGTCAGAAATGAAGGAGGCACAGTCAGAAATGAAGGAGGCACTAACTGAAATAAAGAATAATTTACACAGATTCAATAGTAGAGTAGGTAAAGCCAGGAAGCAAACCATTGATTTGGAATATAAGGAAGCAAAAAACACCCAATCAGAACAGCAAAAAGAAAAAAGAATCCAAAAAAATGAGAATAGTGTAAGGAGCCTCTGGGACAACTTCAAGTGTGCCAACATTCACATCTTGGGGGTGCCAGAAGGAGAAGAGAGAGAACAAGAAATTGAAAACCTATTTGAAACAATAATGGCAGAAAACTTCCCTAACTTGGTGAAGGAAACAGACATACAAGTCCAGGAAGCACAGAGAGACCCAAACAAGATGAACCCCAAGAGGCCCTCACCAAGACACATCATCATCAAAATGCAAAAGGTTCAAGACAAACAGCAAGAGAAAAGCAGTTAGTAACCTACAAGGGAGTTCCCATAAGACTGTCAGTTGATTTCTCAAAAGAAACTTTGCAGGCCAGAAGGGAGTGGCAAGAAATATTCAGAGTGATGAAAAGCAAGGACCTACAACCAAGATTACTCTATCCTGCAAAGCTGTCATTTAGAATCGATGGCCATATGAAGAGTTTCCCAGACAAGGAAAAGTTAAAGGAGTTCATCACCACCAAACCATTATTATATGAAATGTTGAAGGGTCTTCTTGAAGAAAAAGATAAAAAATATGAACAAACAAAGTGGCAATGAATACATATCTATCGGCAATTGAATCAACAAACAAAACGAACAAGCAGAACAGAAGCATTCTTATAGATAGAACATTTTGTTGGTTGCCAGATGGGAGGGGGTTGGGGAATGGGGGAAAAAGGTGAAGGGATTAAGTACAAATTGGTTGCTAGACTGACAACCTCAAAGGGAAAGAGGGTTGGGGGGAGGGAAGAAATAAACCAAAGAACTTATATGCATATATGCATAACCAACGGACACAGACAACAGTGTGGGGAAAGGCAGGATGGGGGCGGGAGTGGGGAGGAGGAGGTCAATGGAGAAAAAATGAGAAACATCTGTAATGCATTCAACAATAAAGATAAGTTAAAAAAAAAAAGAGCAAAGACCTTGGCTTCAATTCTTTCTAACTCATATCTTCTAGGGCCCAGTTTCCTCACACAGAAGCTGGTTCTATGGAAAAGATTAATCAAATATACAAACCTAGCAAAAATTAAATCAAAGATGCAAATAAACCAGCACCAAAACACTAAAGGGTAAATGCATATGCAAAAAGATTTTAAAATAACAGACTATTATGAACTACAAATATATACGTATCTGGAAAATGCTTTTTGTATATATACTGTATATTTTGTTTTCCCCATTTTCTTTTTTTTTTTTTTTATCCTCACCCAAGTACATTTTTCCATCTTTTGTTCAGACAGAGTGGGAGGCAGAGAGAGGAAGAGAGAGAGAGAAACATCAACGTGAAAGGGACACATCGAGTGGCTGCCACCCGCACAACCCAACCAGGACCAGGGACAAACTGCAACCGAGGTAGGTGCCCTTAGCGGGAACCGAACCCGGGTCTCTCTGGATTGCAGGCCGACGCTCTAACTGCTGAGCCAAACCAGCCAGGGCCCCATTTTCTTTTTTTTTAAGTAATTAATTTTGTACAGATGTCCCTCCTTTCCCCTCCATTGTCCACTGATTTTTTTTACATAGAGTGGAAAGAAGGGAGGGAGGGAGAGAGAGAGAGCGCACACGAAACACCGATGGGGCCCTGAGCCAAACCAGCCAGGGAGAGAGAGAGAGAGAGAGAGAGAGAGAGAGAGAGAGAGAGATAATTTTTTTTTTATTTTTAAGAAACTTGACATAAAGATCCAATGGTGGCCAAGTCACCTTGATAAAGAACCAAGGGGGGACTTGTTTTACTAGATTTTAAAGCAATAACAAAACCACAGTAATAAAAAACTCTATGGGTGAAGGTGGTCAAAAGGTAAAAACTTTTAGTTACAAAATTTAAAAACAAAAACTTCTATGGTTCTGGCCCAGGAATAAACCTACAGGTAAATGTGAAGACTACATACGCACAGGGAGCACCATACATCAGCGTGGAAGGAACAAGTTTAGTAGGGTATTGGAAGAACCACAGAGCTGGGTTCTTAGCCTTCAGGACCCTGCCCTGGCTAGTGTGCTTAGTGGTTAGAGCATCGGCCTGCGTACTGAAGGGCTGCAGGTTCGATTCCCAGTCAAGGACATGTACTCGAGCTGCAGGTTCAATCCCCAGGCCCTGTCGGGGCATGTGTGAGAGTCAGCCAAACGATGTGTCTCTCACATGGATGTTTCTCCCTCTCTCTCCCCCTCCCCCTCTTCTACTCTCTCTGAAAAGCAATGGAAAAAATTATACCCTTAGGTGAGGATTAATAAAAATAATAAAGGGTACTCTGAATATATTAAAGACCTCATACAATGATGGAAGGAGACTTGACTTGGGTGGTGAACACATAATACAACATATAGATGATGTCTTATAGAATTGTACACCTGAAACCTATATAATTTTATTAACCAATGTCACCCCAATATAAAACAAAAACCAAACCAACCAAAGACCTCAAAGAGAGTAAGCTAATATAAGAAAACATGCACTGTCCCTGGGACTCTCAGACTAGACAAAGAACTTCTTAAAACACACACAAGGTGAAAAACTGATGAATTTGATAACATCAAGGATTTCTGTCCAGTGAAGGATACAACAGGATTAAAACAGGTGCTGCCCTGGCCGGTTTGGCTCAGCGGTTGGAGCATCGGCCTGCGGACCAGAGAGTCCCGGGTTCAGTTCCCGCTAGGGGCACGTACCAAAAAAACAACAAAAACCAGAGGTGAGGACAGTGAGAAGATACCTATGACACTTAAAATACACCATGGGAAACGGCCGGAGGTGACGCTGGAAAGGAAGACTAGGGCCAGGCTGTGAAGGCGGCCTCACTGAGCGGGGCTGTGAACTTGACTCTCTGGGCCGCGGAACCCCCAGAAAATCCATCAGACTAGAGCACCTGCCGGACCTGCTGCAAGAGCTCCCAGGCCCACTCAAGCCTCCTTCCAATCCATCCGCTCGCGACTGCAGCCAAAGTGATCCTCAAAGCACAGATGTGTCCTGTGTCACTCCCAGAGTCAACGGCTGCACCTCTCAGGAGAAATGCTCCGGCAAGGCTCAGGGCCCAGAGTTTCCCAACAGCAGCCCTGCTGACACCGTGGGCTGGATGTGTCTGCGGAGCTGGCTGCTCTGCGCCTTGCACGACACCCAGCAGCATCCTGAGCCTCTAGCCGACGCAGTGACAAAAAGCACACCTGCCCCCTTCTCCTGCCACCAAGTCATGACCACCAAAATGTCCCTAGACACTGCCTAATGTCCCCTGGGTGGCAACATCATCCGATTTTGATTGAGAACCAGCACTGTAACTCTACAGTGTGGTCTCTGCCTGGCCCACCCCATCTCTACACAGCGCCACCCTCCGGTCACCGCCCGCACGCAGACGCACTGGGCCTTTACTGTTCCCCAGATTCACATCGTGGGGCTCCATGGCGAGGCTCGCACAGCCTCCCCCACCCTCACTCAGGAGAACATACTGGAACCCCAATCTTACTGAGCACCTGCACTCGCACTCTGTAACGTTCCTCAGACCAACAGCGAGTCTTTCTTCGCCACTAGCATGGAACGGGCAAATATTTACCAGAAAAGCTGCTTGCTGCTTTACCTTTTTACTTTCGTAAACTCTAAAATAATTGGTTTTGAATTACATAGGCAGTAAAACCCCAGAACTTTGTGAACAGAGGAAGAGAAAAAAAGATGCATCATTATTTCTATATTAACTTGATTTTTAAATTCTGCACACTTTGCCATAACATACCTAGTTGAAGTTGTTTCTTATTTATGACGATTTTGATATAATTTTCTTGGAATCCAAAGGTTTCAGCTATTCTGTAAAATAAACCAGTGAAAAAACCATAGGTAATCAAATGTGTTATTTTCCACTAAACACAGTTTAACCATGATGCACTTTACTCAGAAACACCCAGTATTTCAGCTTACTGACTCACAAACATCACGGCACTATGTGCAAGGCAGTGTCCTTTTAAACCAGCTGTCTCACTGCTTGTTTCCTCACGAAGTGGGGACGCAGGTGCAGGACGGCCACTGAACAGGAGGACCGTAGCTGCGCACCAGGAGCAAATCCATTCTCTGCCCTCCCTCGGCCTCCTTGGAGGAGCCCATAACAGGGGCCGTCCCACACTCTTCTGCTCGTGTGCTGAATGAACGATGCCTCCTGAACCCATCCCTAACGGCCCTGATGCAGACCAAGGAGAAAATGAGAAATATCCGCTTCAGAAACACGGGCTGGCTCGCCCTGGAGGGGCCCAAAACACTTACCAGTGGGTGAAACCACCGACCAGGTCTCACAAGTTAGAATTGCACTAGTATGAGACAGGCAGGTGTTTCTTCTTTTTACAGATGGGCCAATGGCCTAAAAGTGGTTCAAACACTTGCTGATCGTCTCAGCAAGTTATTAGTGCATCAAGGAATCAAATTCAAAGCTAATGACCTGGTGACCACCGGGCTGTCTCCTATTTATATCATCATTCATTGGTTCACACATGTATCAAGTGCCTGTTAGGTGGTGGACCTGGAGTTCCCACCAATCTCAAGTTCCGCCGGGAAATGAGGAAGAGTGGTGGGCATCTCTGTTCTCATGTGTCCTTCACTATCAGTTGAGCCTGGGTAAGTCCTGCAGCCTCAAAACCTTGATCCCCCTCCCGGAAAGGGAGACTAACACCTGCCCACCCTCTCTGCCAGGCTGGAGTCGAATAGGCTGAAGGAAGGCTCAGGGGACACTCTGGCTAGTGTGGCTCAGCAGTTAGAGCATTGGTCAAAGGACCAAAGAGTCTCCGGTTCGATTCCGGTCAAGGGCACGTACCTTGGTTGTGGTTTGATCCCCAGCCTGGTCAGGGTCATGTGGGAGGCAACCAATCACTGTGTCTCTCTCACATCAATGTTTCTCGCCCCTCCCTCTCTCTCTATCTGAAAATCAATGGAATAGTATCCTTGGGTGAGGATTAAAAAAAAAAAAAAATTAAGACAAAAATAAATAAAAGGGCCGGGGCACCAGGGCGCCAGGCACTCGGATACTTACTTGGATCTCAGTTCTCTGCCGGTGATGTGCAATCGAGTCTCCAGGAGGTTCTTTCTGTCCTATGTAGAAGTCAAACAGACAAAACAACTATGGATTACAGCTTTTTAAAACTGGTTTGGAGAGAGAGAGGAAGGGAAAGGGAGGGAGGGAGAGAGAAACATTAATATGAGAGTGGAACATGGATCCGCAGCCTCCTGCACGCCCCCTACTGAGGATGGATCCCCAAACCCAGGCATGTGCCCTGACTGGGAATTGAACCAGCAACTTTATGGTGTATGGGACAGCGCACGACCAACTGACACACTGGCCAGGGCTGGATTATAGCTATTTAAAAGAAATCATAATTTCTTTGATCACCTCACTAAGTCAACCAGGCATTAGTACCTACGTAAACTTGAGAAAATGACTCACTTTTCTTAGTCGTGGAGGTAAAAATACCTCAATTGTAGCAATTCCTGTTGTCTTATAATTTTCATTTCCTGTGCCACGCTCGATGGCTTTGCACCGTATTTCTTCTATTATCTTCTCTACTTCATTTTCACAACATTCTAGCTTGTCAGAGTACTTCTTAGCCAGGTCCTAGGAGGGAAAATCAGAAAACACAGATCAGTGCAGCACCGAACAGAGAGAAGGTGGGGCTTAGGATACAGAATGGCACACGCAGGACTCCGGGGCAGAACTCTGATGAGTGCGGGTCACCCCGTTACCGTGAAACCCAGGGTGGCCTGATACCTTGAAAGGTACAGAAAAAATGAAGGACAGGAAAGCAGACCCAACAGAAAAAGTGAAAATAATTGAGATTATCCTAGGGAGAAAAGTCAAGTGGACTATAACTTATGTGACTGGAATATAGAAAAATTATTTTAAGAAATGGCTCTGGCCAGGTATCTCAGTGGGTTATAGCGTCACCCCGATGCACCAAGGTTTTGGGTTCAATCCTCGGTCAGGGCACATAACAAGAAGCAACCAATGAGTGCATGAATAAGTTGTACAACACATCAATGTCTCTCTCTCCCTCTCTCAAATCAATTATATAAAAAAAGAAATAGTGAACTAATCAACTCCCAGGTGAAAAACAGAAAATATTCCAAGTTTTCTAACTTGTGAGAACAAGTCAGGGCAGACATAAATAACTTTCTAAATGGAAAATTCTGAATCACTGGTACTGCTTATAAAATAATAAGTTGCGCCCTGGCCAGTTTGGCTCAGCGGTTAGAGCATCGGCCTGCGGTCCGGAGAGACCCGGGTTCGGTTCCCGCTAAGGGCACGTACTTCGGTTGCAGTTTGTCCCCGGCCCTGGTTGGTCGTGCGGGTGTCAGCCACTCGATGTGTCCCTTCACGTCGATGTTTCTCTCTCTCTCTCTCTCTTCCTCTCTCTGCCTCCCACTCTATCTGTACAAAAAATGGAAAAATATCCTCGGGTGAGGATAAAAAAAAAAAAAATAATAATAAGTTGCTAGAATGATTCAACAGAACTCAAGAAAATGCTCCACTTAACTATCATGGTTTATTTTAAAGGACACCAATGAACATCTAGATAAAGAGGGTCACAGGTGGAGTCTGAAAGGGTATGGGGTGCAGCACGTGGATATGTTTGCCAATCTGGAAGCTCCCCAAAACCCACTATTTAAGTTTTTTTTTTTTTTTTATGGAGGTTCCATTGAGTGGACATGACTGATTAAATCATTGGCCACTGGTGATTAACTGGCTCTCCAGCCCTCTCCCCGCCCTGCCCTGAGGTTGGAGGCGGGGGCGGAGAGTCCCAAGCTTCTGAACCCTTTGGACTTTCGGTGATCAGCCCCATCCTGAAGCTGTTGCCAAGAGCCGCCTCATTAGAACAAAAGATGCTCCTATCTCCCTCACCACGGGGAAATTCCCAGGGTTTTAGGAGTTCCCTGCCAGGAACCAAATAGCTTTCTTATTATGCCATACCTAACTTCTGAGCCAAGAGAGTAAACAAGCAAATTCAGAAAAAAATGTCAGAAGGTGGGTTGCAAAATATCAAAAGCAAGGCCTGTCAGGAACAGGAGAGACAGAAAACTCAGACCCGGATACAGGTGTCGCCTCCCAAGTGCCTGTGTGCCACAGCACGAGGTGACCTGGTGCCCTCACGGCAGTCCTGAGTCCCTGATAAATGTTACATCATTTATCTCAAGATACTCAGGCTGAGAGCAGAAAAGTCTGTGCTAGGATACTCCAATATACTAGATGGCTATAAAAAAATTATTAATGTTTTTCTCTGCTTAGAAAAGCAGAAAATTTTCAATTTCTCAAAATTTCACTTATGCAAAATAGGGCCATTTCCAACGCCATAAAAAACGGAGGCATAATTATTCAAAAACTATAGTAGTTTGGAAAATGAACAGAGCCACAGTGCAAGGGAGCGAGGAGCAACTGTTCTCCAGTAGACCATGCTAGCAGGGGGCCGACATCCTCCCAGGACATCACACTGGCAGGTCAAAAGTAGCCTCCAGCCCTGGCCAGTTTGGCTCAGCGGTTAGAGCGTCGGCCTGCGGTCCGGAGAGACCCGGGTTCGGTTCCCGCTAAGGGCACGTACTTCGGTTGCAGTTTGTCCCCGGCCCTGGTTGGTCGTGCGGGTGGCAGCCACTCAATGTGTCCCTTCACATAGATGTTTCTCTTTCTCTCTCCCTTCCTCTCTCTCCCTCCCACTCTATCTGTACAAAAAATGGAAAAATATCCTCGGGTGAGGATAAAAAAAAAAGAAAAAAAAGTAGCCTCCAGATTCACAATGTTAGGTAACACGGTGAAGGTATTAAAATAGTACACGCCCCTGAAATCAGGCAACATTCTCAAAGGAATAAAATCTTCTTAAAAACACACACACAAAAAAAAGCTTGTCAACTCCTAGTAAGAAGTGGATACCTGCTTATTACTAATGCTTTTGGTTCTGCCCAATGTTTACATACATGGTTGTGCCTGGCAATTTCTGGTGACTTCCGAAATTTCATTTACCAATGTGGATGGGAAAAGGGGGATTTGTAAAAAAAAAAAAAATCTAACCAAAAGTAACCTCACAGAGTAATCTGATTGTGCATTCCTAATGGGCAAGTCAGGGTGGGTAGTCACGCCCCAGCACATAACACTGTTTTCGTGCATAGGTTAGCACACCTTTTGACATGCATCTTTCAGACCCCTCAGAAGAGAGCATGTAACCACCCTCAAGGGAGCACGTAATCTTAACTATCCTATAATCCAATCCCTACCTTGACTTCTCCCTTGAGTTCATGTAATCTTCCTTAAATTCCCTCCTTAATTCCAAATGTATATAAGAAACCGCAGAGTGTCACTGTGGGAAATATTTTTCTCAGTCTGTTGAGAACTTGCTTCCAGGCTTGTCCCCTGGCTCAAATACACTCTAATAAACTTATAAGCATTTGTACAGGCTTGGACATTCTTATGTCGACACCAAGGAGACTTACAACACAGCTAATTATCTGTGTCTTGAAAAAAAAAATACCTTCAATGCCAAACCAACTTCTTTATTTTCATCTGTATACGGAGGTTTCCAAAGTTGAATTCTGTCTTCCCGTAAAAACTGGGTCAGTTTTGCTTGGAGATATTTCTTTTGCGCCATCCTTGAAAGCAAAACAGCATAGCAATGATGCCCCACGACACATTTCAGTGATTTATACCTACCTCATGTGTTGATGTGTTGGTAGTATAAGCAGAGCTCCCTCCACTTTAAGTTACTTTTAGAGTAGGTTTTAACTAGCTCCAGACTTCTCTAAAATATATAATATACATATAATAGAATATATATATTGCATAGTCAACATATATTACATATTATATGTTACATTAAAACATGTATTTCATGTTTTCTGAGATGTAGCAAGGTTTATTATACTTTTCTATTTCTTAACCTGCTATTATTCTCTGATCTAAGAAAAAAGATAAAATAAGAGAAAGACGAATCCCTAAAGTAGTGAAACTCAACACTGAATTTAGAAAATCTCTTGTATTTTGGCTAGTTTAACATGAAACAAATACCAACTACCCTGGTAGGTAAACATAAAGGAAAATTAGCTTGAACTGTGAACTGTCAATAATAAATGTTCTCGACAGTACTTGAATTTTTAAATTAAAAAGTCAGTGCTTACAACACTGGAAAAGTACTGCATGATCTTCTGTGACAATAACACAGCATGAGCGCTACACATTTAACACTGACTGGCTGGACCATCATTTTCCAACTGAGAAAACCCAGGCCGCAGGGCTGTAAAATAACACAGCCAAGGTCACAAAACTAGCCAGCACCACAACTACACTGACTCTGCCTACATTGGACTCTGCATTCTGTCTCCCAGTTCCTTGCTGCTTCTCTGTCCCGTGTACGTAACTCTCTCTCCCACAGAAGCACCTGCCAGCGATGCAGCTGGCTGCCTGGACCTCAGTAGCAAAGCAATTCAAAGGGGTGAGTGAGGCTGCAGGACCGTGAAGCAGCTGAAAGGTTCTCCAGTTCACATCGTGAAGCAGTGCAGCCAAATCAGACAAGCATAAGAAAAGTAGAAAGGGATTAGGCCCTGAGGCTGAAGACACGTTCCAGAGAACGAATAGAAGTTAATGTAACCCAGATAAGTTTTTTTTTTTCTGTTCAGGGCCTGTATTCCACACTCCCCAAAACCAAAGTCACCTGTTTTTTTGTTTTTGTTTTTTGTTTTTTTAAAAACAGTTTATTGATTTTTATAGAGGAAGGGAGAAGAGAGAAACATCAATATGAGAGCATAACATCGGTCAGTTGCCTCCTACAAGCCCCCTACTGGGGATCTAGCCTACAACCTGGGCATGTGCCCTGACTGGGAATTGAACCAGCAATTGGTACACAGGATGACACCCAACCAACTGAGCCACACTGACCAGGGCTGGCTGATTTTTTAAAAAATTTAATCCTCAATGAGGTTTGTTTTACTGATTTTAGAGACAAGGGAAGGGAGAGGGAGAGAGAGAGAAACATTGACTGATTGACAGGGGAATCAAACCTGAAACCTAAGTATGTTCTCTGATGGGGACTTGAACCTGCCACCTTTTGGTATACAGGATGATGCTCCAACCAACTGAGCCACGCGGGCCAGCCTCTGAATTAATCTGATTTTTAAATAAAGTTTCATAACTTGAGTGTATCCCATTAACAAGTTTTTTGTGTGTGGTATGTGCCCCTAGGGGAACCGAACCCGGGACTCTCTGGTCCACAGGCCTACGCTCAGCCGCTGAGCCAAACTGGCCAGGGCTCATTAACAAGTATTTTAAAAGAAACACCAAATCTATTTTGTATCAGTTTGGAGGCAAGAAAGAGGGTACTCGGGACAGGGAGGAGAAAGGGGAGGAAGGAACAAACAGATCAAGAAGGGGGCTGTGACCTAGAGAGAACCCGAGATTCTTCCAGCACGAACTGCTTCTCACACAGAAAAAAGCACGTATCAGTACCGAGGTGTCCTCGCTTTGCAAACACAAACAACGTACACGACCGCGATGCAAAAGCTAGCTCCCTTCTGGTAAGTCTGCAGAGATTCCGAATGAAACATCGCCGGGGAAGAACTGTTTCAAGGGCTGCTCAGCTGAGCCAAGCTGTTCGGAAGGGCTGAACGCCCAGCCCGGGGGCCATCCCACCCAAGTACCCACCTGAGCCCCAAGGGTCTCCCCCACCTACTGTGTGTCCCGCACTCCACCCACCAGCAAGCAAACAGCAAGGAGGGTCTACACCGCCCGGCTTAACGTTTCCACCAAGGGGAAGCCACTGCCGTGAAACTTGGGGAACTCCAGGGGCAGACAACAGACCAAGCGAGCGTTCGGAGCTCAGATCCAATCCACAGGGACACCGGTCCGGGACATCCGCCTCCGAGGTGAACTGGAGAACCCAAAGAACCAGAACCAAAAGTTTTGCGGGGGGCTCGGGGGGGGGGGGGCCCACACTGTTCCGCATTACCGCCTGCCCAAGAGGAGAAACCCATTCATGCGGCTGCTCCAAACTGAAAGCGAAACGTTACAAACCTCTCCTTTAAAATGTTCACTGGTGCAAGAGACTGATCTGCACAACCCTACCTGGAGCTTCTCACACACACACACACACACACACACGTATGTGTTCCCCAAAATACATTCAATTTTTTCAGGCGGAGTAATAAACCCTCGTGTTGAAGAATAAGACAGGGTCGGGCGAGGAGGTGAAGCCAGCATCAGGACCAAGGCCGGCCAGAGGCAACCGTGTCCTCGCGGTCAACAGCGGAGAAACTCGGACTCTGCAAACGCGCCCCGTCCCCGGACGGCGTCGTGAAATGACGGGGCCGCGGTTCCAGCCGCTGTGGGCTCAGGAGGTTGATCCGGCCCGACTCCGAGTGTCCCCGTAGCTCCGTCCGCGCCCCCAGCCGCGCTCGCTCTGGTTAAATACCCACCACCCCGCCCGGCCGAGCGCTAAGCCAGGGCCCCGCGGACGGCGGCAGCGTCTGGAAGCCCCGGCCGCCGCCCCGGCCCCCGCCGGGCCTCCACGCAGGACGCCCAGCGCCCGCCACGGAGGCGGCGCCCGACCCGGGGCCAGAGCTGGACGCTCGGCCGCTGTCTCCTCACCTGCGCCACCGCTGCGCCGCCACGACCTGCCGAGTGCCCGGATGCCGCGGCGGCCGCCGTTGGTTTTCATTCCGGGTGAGGCCGGCCCCGCCCCCGCCGCCGCCGCGGCCGCCGCCGGTCCCGCCCCGCCCCCGCGAGGCCAGGAAGGAAGGTTGTGGGCGGGGCTAAGACGGGGCGGGCCTTAGGCAGGGAGAAGACAGACTCGTGATTGGCTGTGGTGTGGGCGGGGCTCATACTGAGCGGGGCCGAAAGAGCTTGTGGGCGGGGCCGGGGCAGGAATGGGCGGGGCGAGGCCGGAATGGGGCGGGGCCGGGCGAAGATGGGGCGGGGCCGGGGCGAGAACCCGCCCGCGTGCGGGGCAGTGGAGACCTGGAACCGCGCCCCTGGGAACCAAGGGAACGCGACCCAGTTTGCCCGACTTCGGAGGAAACTGAGCCTGGCTTCGTTCTTCCAAAAGCCTTGAAAGAGGCCAGAACACCTCGCAGGAAGTCCAGGAGGGAGGTCTGGACCTCTTGCAGCCGGGTGCCGCCCCCTCGCCCGTCCCTGGATTTAGGCCGGACCTAATGGCTATCGCCGTAAACCTCCGGTGTGCACCACCCCGCCCTCCATCACCCAGCACCGCCTCCCCTCAGGTGAAGTTTCGCTGCCCGCGGCCGGCCCTGCTAACCCCGGGAGGTGAGGGACTGTGATGTATGCGGAACAACTAGGGGCACTTGGAGAAATGCCCTGACAGGGGCAGAGCCCAGGCGGTTGAGCACCGGTTCTGCCAGAGCTTTGAGAGCTGGTTCGATCGGCCTCAGGCAGGCGGACCGTGCATGGAAGATAGAAGGAGCCCATCCCAGACCCCAGAGAGTTTGCTGGGATGAAGCCGTTGTCCTCCTTTCCAAGTCCTGAAGTCCATCCTTGGACCTGCTCTAGCACGGTCGTGGCTGGGGCTGGAGAGTATAGGTCCTGCATGCAGGCAGGACGTACTTGGGGAAGCCACGCAGTGCTGAGTCTCAACGGGGACAATTGTAACACTGCCCACCCGGCATGGTGGGCAAAATCTTGGACAAGGGTCTGTCCCTGTCACTACACCAGGACCACCCTCAGGATACCATTAACCCCAGCAATACATTTCCAAAAATGGATGTGGGTCTAGAATACACCAGGAGGCCCCGCTGCAGATAGTCCGAGAGGGGCTTTGCACACGCTCTGATACTCCACCAGAAAAGAGGAGGCAGAACCTTTCCAGGCCCCTTCCATTCGCCAGGAGGAAGCCTTAGGTGGAATGTGCGTCTACATCCATTTTCAGGAAGAGAAACTTGTTCCTGAAGGTACCATGTCTGCCAGTGTTCCCTGCCCATCACCGGGGGACTCTGCAGACGGAATGCAGAGCAATTTCAGTTCCTCTTTTCCTTGTCTGGTGGCTTTCAGGCATGGTCCACCAACCTGACCTGCCTCCAAAGCGAGCAGGTTTCTGTCTTTCCAAATAGGACTTTACTGTCTCAAGAGCCTCCTTTGGGTACACAAACACTTACATAACCGTTGAAACTAAAGTTTGTTTGTTTTTATCCTCACCTGAGGACATTTCTGCATTTATCTTCAGATAGAGTGGGAGGGAGAGAGGGGGGAAGAGAGAGAGAAACATCGATGTGAGAGAGACACATCGACTGATTGCCACCCAAGTGACCCCAGCCAGGGTGGGGACAAACTGCAACTGAGTTACGTGCCCTTAGCGGGAACCAAACCTAGGACTCTCTGGTCCGCAAGCCAAAGCTCTAACTGCTGAGCCAAACTGGCCAGAGTTAAAGTTCTCCCCCCCCCCCCCTTTATTGATTTTAGAGAGAGGAAGTGAGAGGGAGAAGATAGAAATATTGATGAGAGAGAACATCAATTGGCCGCCTCCTGCATGCCCCCCATGGAGATCGGGCCTACAACCTGGGCACGTGTCCTGACTGGGAATTAAACTGGCAACCTCTTGGTGCATGGGTTGACGCTCAACCACTGAGCCACACCAGCTGGACAAAACTTAAGTTCTTTACCTTGGGCCAAATCCACTTCTTAGTCAAGGCAACTGACAAATGGCAAAATGGGGGGAAATATTGTCAATTCACATCAAAAGCAAATCTCTTTGCTATGTAAAGAGCTTTACAATTCAATAAGAAAGAGACCAAGATAGAAAACCGGGGAAAGGCTAGGAAAATATGATTCACTAGAAAGGAATTAGAAATGGTTTATAAATATATGAAAAATCACTTAATCTCACTCACAATGATATCAATATAAATTAAAACTACACCAAGATACCACTTTTTACCTATCAGACTAGCAGGGGGGGTAAAGTGCTATGATGGCAAGGCTGTGTGGAAACAGGCACCCTTGTACATTACTTGTGGAGGTTAAATTGATACAACCCCTAGGAGGGAACTCTGGCAGGATCTATCAAAGTCAAAATTCATATTTTCTTTGATCCAGTAAAAAAAACTGTTATTATTCTTGCTGTACTTTATTAATCTGGCCCTGTTCTGTTTTTCCTAATACTAAAATTAGTGCAATTTCTTAAGATGAAGAATTCTTCCTAATTCATGTTTGTGCTTTTGTTGCTATGGGTTTTGTGGAGATCAAGAATTAGGGAACTTCTGCAGAACTGATTTTACTTCTGGTGGAGTAAAATCAGAAAATCCTGCTCTGGCTGGTGTGGCTCATTTGGCTGGGCATGGTCCCATGCACCAAAATATTGCCAGTTCAATTTCTGATCAGAGCACATGCCCGGATTTCTCTTGGGCTCCATCCCTGGTAGGAGGTGTGCCAGAGGCAGCCAGTTGCTGTTACCCTCTCACATCAATGTTTCTCCCTCTCTCTCTCCCCCCTCCCTTCCCCTCTCTCTAACAGTCAATTTAAAAAATCATAAAACCCTTAAATATCCTTTGCATGATGGTGAAATTTAATGCTGAATGTTATCAGTTCTTACTAAGAAAGTAAAAAAGTAACAAGTTTTAGCTTTTCAGCTTTATAATTGTTTTGATTAGAATAATATATATGCATTGGGTTGAGTTGTGTGGTAAAACTAATTTTTTATAGGTGAGGACGTGTGTTTGAAAAGAAATCAGATTCAGTATTGATTTCTCTAGAAATAGGAATTTCCGAGCAGTGGTTATACACTGGAATTTTGGGGGAATTTAAATGATGACTCACACTTTCAGTCTGGTAGGCTTTCAGTAACCATATTTGGAGACATGGTCATGTCTTGGGTTGGACGGGAAGAACATGGAAGGAACAGAGAAGACAAGCAGGTAGAGAGGGAAATTTGTTCCCACTTGACTGAGAATATATCATTTCAATCACCCTTAACGATGATAGAAACTGAAAGAAGTTATGAAAAGATCAAGTAAGAGAGTTATTCTGATTCTCAGGAAACATGGGCTGGGAGGATGGATCTCAGATACTATCAGAAAGGCATAGCCTGCCCACCTGTGACTCAGGTAGAATCTTTCTGGAAGCAGGCAGTCCTCAAATTCTGTGTCCAGGTTTTGACTCTGACATATTCTGGTCCCAGAGGTTAAGCCTATGTACATCCATTTATCTGTCTCCCAATAGATGGGTCGGTGATATACTAATTCTGAAAAGATAAAGAAATAAGGGTAAAGATGATGAAGTTGTCGACCCGTGGTCTCGATACTGTTGAATTCAGTTCAGGAGAATCTGTGTTTTGTTGTTTAACCCATTTTTAATGCTGAAATGAATTTTATATACAATATTAGTTTTGTGGTTTTAAGTTTAAGGGTGAATGAAAACTAAGGTAGAGGCAGGCAAGCAAGTAGCTAATCATTGCTGTAGGCCTACAGTTTGAGAAACTTCTATGGAATGCTAGAATAATTTACTTTTTTTAAAAAACTTAATTCCCGAAGAGAAGTATCAATCACATACTATACACGACTATTTAAAAGATAAAATCAGAAATCCCCACCATCCCTGTTTTCTAAATAAAACCTAATAAGAGTCGGCACACACTGGTCATATGGTATGAAGTATTTCCTCCCAAACTGAAGGAATGAACTCACCATGGAGCAGAGCCCCAGGCTTTAACATTACTACCCAGGGAAGATGATGTTAATGCCATGGGGACCTTGCCTAACCAAGCAAGGACAGCAAGAATTGATTTTATCGCCAGCTGATAGATCATTACAAAAATTACTAAAGATG